AGACTCCCCAGTCCAACCCCTAGGCCTACCTATACCTGTCAAGCTTGTACAGTAGCGTCAAACTTGAAAGTAATCAAGCCCAGCTACACACCAAGCCGCCGAGGCAAGAACAAAGAACAGATCTTTATGGCGAACTTTTCGGAAAGGAGAATGCATCGTCCCAGTCCGGGTGAGTCGACCACCAGCGACTCGTCTCCATGATCCAGTCTAGTTACATGGTCAACGAGATCGAGACCGCTCGATCTCCGTTCTCTTGAGGTGTTAGTTCGCCCCCCCCCCCCCCCCCCCCAGGCAAAGGTGGCAACGAGAAACGACGCCGACTCGATCGACGACTCGGACGATACGAGGCTCGAGCAGTGGGACGACGAGCATGCTCAGACGAGGTCAGATCATCGAATCGGGTACGAACTACGAAGATGATGTCACACACAGCCACGTCATTATTGTGTCATTATGTCATAATGACGTGCATAATGATGCAAATATTTAAAATAATAATTTTGCGACATGCAACGTGGCAAAAAGTGGTTCGAGATGATTAGATTTTTGAATAATTATTATTTTTTTTGTTCTGTGCCAGCTCATGTGAGATTGGGCTGAGGTATTTATCGGATTCCTTTGTCCATTTTGCTGGAGCATCTGCAACACAGCCCTTGCGTTGCAGGACACGAGTATTGCATTGAGCTGTCTAGAAGAATGGCGTCTCGTGTTGAAACTAACTTCAAGCGTTTGCTGAGCAAATGCGAGTCGATGGTTGCTGAGGAAATACGAGCTGAAGACCTCTGGAGGCTGGAACAGGTGCGTGATTTCACCTGCCAGTTTTAGTTTCTCAGCAATCGCACAACAATGGATTGATACGTGTAGTGCCCTTTAGTGTGAAAAAGGATGACAACTCAGCATCTCGCTCTCTCGCTCGCTCTCTCTCTCTCTCTCTCTCTCTCTCTCTCTCTCTCTCTCTCTCTCTCTCTCTCTCTCTCTCTCTCTCTCTCTCTCTCTCTCTCTCTCTCTCTCTCTCTCTCTCTCTCTCTCTCTCTCTCTCTCTCTCTCTCTCTCTCTCTCTCTCTCTCTCTCTCTCTCTCTCTCTCTCTCTCTCTCTCTCTCTCTCGCACACACGCACACACGCACACCCACCCACACACACACACGCAAGCGCGCAAACACACACACACACACACACACACACACACACACACACATACACACACACACACACACACACACACACACACACACACATACACACACACGCACACACACACGCACACACACACACACATACACACGCACACACACACACACACACACACGCAAGCGTGCAAACACACACACACATACACACACGCACACACGCACACACCCCCACACACACACACACGCAAGCGTGCAAACACACACACACACACGCAAGCGTGCAAACACACACACACACACACACACACACACAGTGCATAACTTAGAATAATGTTCTGCCATGCATTCATGTTATCTATCCGTTTTGTCATGTTTTCTTTGTAGTTTATCTCAAGACTGACAGAGGACTTGGCCCAGCTTGAAAAGTCGCCATGGTGAGATGCGTACTGGTGTGTGTGTGTGTGGGGGGGGGGGGGAGGGGGGGGGGAGGATGTCCATGAGTGCATGTGTTTACTTTTGAATGTGATTCAGTTCATTACACTTCCCAGCACTGAAATTCGTCAGCGAAATATTTCCTTGGAAAATGATAAGGAACCGTTAGGTTTGCTGTAACCAATCAGCGCAAGTTGAGTAGTATTTTTTTCTCTCGCTCTGGCACCGGTAGAGTATGTCAATGTCAGATAATGTCTTCGCCGTTTGCACTACTGTAAAGCTATGATAAGATCAAAAGTACTGTATTGTGACTTATATTGTCGACAAGTTTTCAGTCCATTCAAACTTCGACCGCCCAGGGCTAAAACCCATTTCGGCTGCATCAAAGTTTCGGCCTGTACTGCTGCCACCTGTATACACTGTCACACTGAACCAAAATTTCGGCCAAACATGGCCAAGCCGAAAATAGCCGAAAATTATGCGCTGGATATTTGTAGACTTACAGTACATGAAAAGCAGAGTGTGCAGCTTGGGGCCTGTTCTACTATGGGTGTCTGTCACGGCGGAATTCCGTGATTACATCACGTTTGGTGCTGATCTGAGGCGGGAAATGGCGTAGTGCGTACAACTGAGCTGCAGTTGCGCAGAAAGAGACCTGCTTGAATCCTGCTTGTACGCACTACATCACTAAAATGATGTAAACACGGAATTGCGCCGTGACAGCAACCCATCAGAGCTGCACACTCTGGGTTTCATGTACAGTTAGACCTCGCTTATCCGGTCCTCTTTTATCCGGATCCCTAGCCATCCAGAAGAAAATAGCTGGTTACAGATGTACAGTGTACGTGATGCACCCTACAAAACCGGTGTTCGATACGCTGTACCTCGATGGGCAGCAGGAAAGTGTTCCTCCAAGTAGTATCCCCGGTACTTCTCACACCGACCCACGTATCATACAATACAGTGTGTATTGGTTATAGTGTGGTCGTGTAAAAGAATATACTGCCTACAAGAATGAACTCTCATGTTTTCATAATCATATCAACATGACCTTCAAGTGATCATTTATTCTTACAAGCAATGTTATCGTATAGTAGAATATATCGGCCCTAAGAATGGACTTTGTGTAGCGAAACATGCCAGATTAGTACAAAGTGTATCGCCTGTAGTACTAACATCTGTCCTATGCAGTTCTGATCTGACTCGCATTGCATCGTAGTGCTGCAGCCTGTGCAGGTTCAACTGTTGTGGTCATGTAACTCATGAGTCATGTTGCCACATGGTAAGCCTATGGGACTATGACCAGCCGCATGCACAGTAGCACTACATTGCATGTACGATGATCTTCCTGCCTCTGCGCACACGCATATGATAGGTCACACTTGATTTATCGTGTGTAAGAAATATTGGAAATAAGAATAGAAAGTCGTTTTTCAAACACCCACGCTATAACCGATACCTACTATACATGTAATACATGTTGCAAGGCTTGGAAATAGCCAGTGGTACTTCTTGCCCACTACAGTGCCCAAGGCATAGGCACAGTTTTAGTTTACTTAGGAATTTTAGAACCCAGTTACCCTGGGATATTGTTGACATGGTATGGGCGAAAACATTTCGGTACGGCATACTGTGTATTGATGTGTGTTTCTGTGTGTGTCTCTTTGTGTGTGTGTGTGTGTGTGTGTGTGTGTGTGTGTGTGTGTGTGTGTGTGTGTGTGTGTGTGTGTGTGTGTGTGTGTTGGTATGCTCAGTCGACCGAAAGGGGAGACATTGGTGTACAGCAAGAGACTACAAGTCCTCAACGAGTTTTATAGAGCTAGGCAAGAGGTTAGTGTTAACGTAATGACAAACGCACATACACACACCGCACATACATACATACACCGCACATACAGTAAAACCTGTAACTAAAGACCACCGTGACTAGCGACCAGCCTGGTACTACCGACCACTTCGCCAGGCACAGACGGTCTCACATTCAATATGCACTGTGACTAGCGACTATCTGCTGAACGCGACCAGCGACCGCCTTTTCTTGTCCCAAAGACGATTTTTGACCCGTAACTAGCGACTGTGATGTAGGAAATCAAATGTTGCTCGAAGTTCCTTCTTGAAATTTTGCTGATTTTCTATGGCCCTGGAAGGAATCTTTGGATACTACAGCTGAACAAATGAACGTAGGTCATTTTGACTGTGGAGTCGGTGTGGACTGCACTACACCTGTCAAAATTTCAAGCGCTGTCAAGAATAAACATGATAGGAAACGTCTTGGAGAGCGTATTGGAAGCGCTTTCTGATCGATGTTGCTACTCGGAGGAGAAACGAAGACAGAGCGGCTCTGTCCCAGTCATACGGACGAATCGACTATAGCATCAAGGAATCCAGAACGAAGCAGCGCCGCAAGGTCCTGACGCTGAAGGATCGCGTTCAAGCAATCGAGAAGTCACAACAAGGACAGTCGGTACGATTGATCGCATGAACAAATTTGAAGCCCAGCGCAAAACGAAACTTCCACAGGGAACGTTTGACTCCTGGCTTCAGAAGTAGCAGCTGAATTTGATGTCTGCAAAAAATTAATCTTCTCTCTCTGTCTCTGTCTCTCTCCATCTCTCCGTCTTTCTCTCCAAGTGTTGTTTGACCTGAAATGAGAATGGTATTGCGCAAGTCCTGGGGAATTGTACTAGCCGCATTTTGACATGCATATCATATAATGGGATCCATATATGGTCACGCAGTGCAAACCTCTAACTAAAGACCACCTGCTACTAAAGACCACTTTTGCTGGCACCAAGGGGTGGCCGGTAGTCACAGGTTTTACTGTACATACATGCATACACCGCACATACATTAGGTGCATACACACACCGCACCTACATGCATACACACATGCCTGCGCTCGCGCATGCACACACACACATGTATACACTGCTCTCTTTTCTCTCTCTCTCTCTCTCATTCGTTCTTTTCTTCTGTTCTCTTTCTCTCTCCTTCTCCCCAATCCCCCCCCCCCCCCCCCGTCTCTCTCTCTCACTCTCTCTCTCCCTCCCTCTCTCTCTCTCTCTCTCTCTCTCTCTCTCTCTCTCTCTCTCTCTCTCTCTCTCTCTCTCTCTCTCTCTCTCTCTCTCTCTCTCTCTCTCTCTCTCTCTCTCTCTCTCTCTCTCTCTCTCTCTCTCTCTCTCTCTTGTTGAGCAGAGTCTGGAGAGTACACGCAATGATGCCACTATCCCAGCGACCAATCCCTTCGCCAATACTTTGTCGGCAAAGAGTCGTGAAGCACAGATGAAGGCGTGCGGACGACACTTGGGTGGCATGAGATCTGAGCTTCTTGAGGGCGTAAGTGCAGGACTGGTGATGCGCACCATTAACCCTTGTTGCTCTTGTCGGCATCTTCCTGTCGTTGATTGTTCTTGTTCTTGTCGGTGGGAGCAGTGCTGTCGTAGTCATCGGCATTGTGCTATACATGTGTTGTCGTTCTTGGGGATATCAGTCTTGCTCTGTCTCTTGTAGCGCTGGTCCTTAATTAAATTCGTCTCGACCTAAGCAGCCATGTGCAACTTTGGAGTGACGAGACTTGTGTTCCCTTGTTGTGATTGAAATTCAGAGTGGCAGCGGATACGTGAATGTTTCCCATTTCCCATTTCCATGTTTCATACTGCATGCTGTTACTACGGTAACAATGGTCGGTTTTAGAACGCATGGAGGAGGAGAGTTTTATACATACTGTTACTGTCGTAATTTTATTTTTATTTTTTGTTGAAATACTGTCGCAAAGTTGTGTAAAGTTGTGTATAAGTACATTGGTTGTAGCCAGAGCAGCTGATGTTCAGGCCATTTCTTTATTCATACCACACCTCTATAATCTATAGAAGCGGCAAGCTGACGAGTAGCTGTATCCGGTGCACAGATGCATACTTAAATGTCAACACACAGTCATATCAAATTGTCGTGCTTCTATTCATGTAATGCTTCTACAAGTACAGTCCTGCTCAATGAAATCCAGCCGCTTGAGTCAGGTTTGCGCCTTGCATCATTCCGCAGCGCAGTGTTCGCAGGTCTAGGGCTGCGCAACGCCCGGCGTGTACTTGAGAAACTCGACTGGATTTCATTGAGCAGTAGTGTACATGTACGCGGGTCATGTGCTGGCGTACGAGAAAAAAATATGAGTATTGCTATGCCATGCTGCAAGCAAAAGAATGAAGTTGACGCAGACTGTCTAAAGAGGGGCCGTAGCCTGCAGACTTCGAAGCAATGAATTTCTCTATTTGCGTTCTCCCTGCAGAGGAATTCTTTGTCTCGCGAAAGCAGCACGCCCACGGCCGACTCTGGTGTCCGGCATAGAAGGTGCGTATTTATATGTATGCACGTGGTGCACACGCCTGCTTGAGAAATTGAGAATGCGTGCTTGAGCGTATGTTTGTGCTTGTGCGTCTGTTACGATCTTCGCCAGATGTGCATATGGCATCTATTTTTTCTTTCTTTGTGCATGTTCTGTCATGACCAATACCATTCACAATGTTGCCTGATGATTGCACTATGTGCATGAAGCTCAGAGTTGTAGCGGACTAGCCTTGTTCGACAGTGGTGCTGTGTATTCCGCACTCCTCCACTCTGCCCCGCTCTGCCCCTCTTTGCCCTGCTCTGCCCCGCTCTTCCCTAGCTGCATTCGAGCACTCTGAGCATATGGCATGCATGCTCTGCAGTCTTGTGCTACTAGTAAGTACCTGATACTGTAAACGCATGCCGGTATGAACCTATGCATGTACTTGGTCCGCCAAGTTAAAATTGGCGCTTATCTTCTCACTTGGTTTTTCGGTGTTCTGCCTGTGTCACACGGCATGGAACCACCGATTCACCATCCGAACATAACCAATGACCATTGCATCCGAAGACATGCCAGCACAAGCCATCACAGAAGTTGCGATCGGTTCTTTTGAATCTTTTTGACGGAGCTGCCGCCGACGACTCGTTGAACAGGCCTGGTGCACGGCGTAACTTAGGTACAGCAGTACGCACCGGTGCTACATCAAGCGGAAGCTATCACTGCGCTGCGTGTACTGTCATGGACATGGAAATCCGGTCGCACGTCTAGCGGCCCCAGGGCACTGGTCATGCAGCCGTACACGTATTATGCGCTGCTGCTGGTCGCATCGGATCAACATGATTGTGCACTGCATGCAACGACTACGGTCTTACGTTCTGTACGCGCTGAGGGCGCCGGCCCCGGTCAATCGACTGGATTTCCATGTCCGCTACAGTACAAGCACCAGCGGCTCGCGTGGGTGCTGATCAGCAAGTACGACAAGCGCAAGAGGTGATTTGAAAAAGGACACTGATATGGCGTTGTCTTTTTGTCTCAAACAAAGTCGCATTATTGCGACGAACGGGGATAACACTTACAGCCAACATGCGGGCAGTCTCACTCAGCTTCGATCGGCAAGGTGACAGGCACGTACTGCCTTTGAGCGTGATTCGAGACGAGGAGAAGTGGAACAAGCTATGATACGTGCAGCAGCTGTCCGGATCGAACTTTTTGAGCTCTTCCTCCAGCGACGATAGTGGCGAGGAGGATGTGTAACTTGCTTGAATTTTCGACTGAGTTGCTTACAGACATGTAAATAATCATGTGCATAGTGCTTTGTGATCGTGGCTTGCCTCAAATATTCGTATTTCATTCCTGAGACAAGTGTGAAGATAAGCGCCAATTGTATCTGGGCGGACCAAGTATTCACATCTATAGAGAGGTTTAGCACAACGGAATTCGTTTTTCATTTTCGTTTTGCCGCCGTACGAAAAAGCCGACCAAAATTCGCTGAATTTTTGTTTGGCAGAACGTTCGCAACCAACTTTGGTGTCGCTACTGGATACCGTGGATGTCGCGGAAATCCCCGCGCGAAATACAAAATGATAGAAAAGGGCTTTACGATTTTTTCAAATAATTCCTTGTTTGACAAGGCGAACTTTTCGATTGCGATGTGCTTCAACTTTTCCATGAAGAGGTTGTTCATCTAAAATGGAGCAGGAGGACAAACATCTCCTTGCCGTTCTGCTCCTTCTGAGCTATGATGATGGCGACTTCGATGACGATGAAATCCATTTGCTGTTTGGCGCAGTATTCGCCGCCAAAGATAAACCTGATCTGAATCAGGTAGTTGGTGAACAACTGCGTTTCGAGGATTTGGACGAGGAGACCTGCTTACGGAGATACCGCTTTGGAAAGAGCGACTTGCCAGTGCTGTGTCAACATTTGCAGCTTCCCCACCAAATGACTGCTCCATGTCGCCTAAAGTGGACAGCGATGGAAGGCCTTCTAATCGTTTCGAGACGTTTAGTATTTCCAAACCGACTTGGAGATTTAGTCGCCGAGTTTGGAAGATCTAAGCTAAGTCTAAGTGCAATAGTAGACATGGCTAGCATTTTACCGTTCACGCTAACTTCAACGGTCGGCCTGTACGTTTTTTTGTGTGTTTTCAAGACATGGTTAGCATTTCGGTTTCTGACACAACGATCGACTTGTGACGTAGCCCTAGTTGGAATCTTACCGTTTCTTTCTCCCGCTAAACAGAGCTTTCTATCGTCGAAACGATACCAAACCGACGGTATTTTGGGTGTTGGGTACGAGCACCGTTGGATTTAGCGTGAACGGTAAAATCCTAACCATGTCTATTGAACATGACTCTAAATTGGATAGACCGCCGATGGATTGATTTGCTGGCCAATCCCTTCGATAAGCCATTTTGTCACCCAAGACCGATTACAAAGCTATGCTGACGCCATCAGGAGGTGAACCGGTGCAGCATTAAACATTTGGGGATTCATCGACGGAACCGTGAAGCCCATGTGTCGACCGTCTGTACTCCAGCGACCTTTTCTACAATGGACATAAGCGAACACATGCTTTGAAGTACCAAGCCGTTGCGTCACCAGATGGCTTGGTGATTCATCTGTACGGGCCTGTCAAGGGAAGACGCCACGATGCTGGTATCCTGGCTGAAAGCAACCTGTTGGCGAAGCTGCAGCAATTACCGGATCCTGATGATGGAGGCATATTTGCACTCTATGGCGACCCAGCCTATCCCTTATCGCCAAGGCTGCAGAAAGCTTATCTGGGCGCAAACCTGACTCCTGCACAAGCACAGTTCAACACCCAGGTTAACCGTGCACGGCAGTCTGTGGAGTGGAGTTTTGGTGAGCTGCTCACATACTGGGCTTATGTTGACTACTAAAAAAAACAACAGAAGCTTCTCTTGCAGCCCGTTGCCGTCTATCACAGAGTGGGAGCACTACTGATCGACTGCAGAGTCATCATTCGGAGGGGATCAAAACATCCAAATATTTTGATATATCGCCGCCAACATTGGAGGAGTACCTATCACAACACTGCTGCACCCTGTGACCAATTTCTCTCTCACACATACATGTACACACCTCCTTTGAGGTGTGCATATGTTTATGGTTGATGTCACACAATGCGTGTGTATGCTTCTCTACCCTTTGTGCGAGTACAGTACAACATCCTCGTGTTAGTGATTTTCCTAATTCCACTCTCTGTTCGTTCTCAGTGTAAACCGGGCATGGATTGCAGTTCCCTCTCTTCTTGGCTTGTCATTTTCATAACCTCTATGCATACTCATTCTGTGGACGAAACTGCTTCATCCTTTGTGGGAAATCAGTGAGCTACGCATAGTGCAAAGAAAGTTTAGCGCGGATGTTCCCTGTTGGCAATCATGCTCATCCCATCCTGGACACAAGAACACCACACTCAAATTTGGCCACATCAATTACTGCTTCATCACATGATCACGTATCATCATCATCATCATAAACATCCGTCTCGTCCTCTCTGTCCAGTTTCTTGTCCTCCCTTTCTTCTTCTTCTTTCTTTTCCTTTGATGCAAGTTCCTTCTTCTGGACTTCAAGTCTGGCGTCGAGTTCCTTCTCCTTTAGGGGAAGCTCCTTCCTGTTCAACTCCTTTACTTCTGGGCTGATGTCGTGTTCCGTCTTCTTCTCCTCCAGTGCCATCTTCCTTTTCTCAATGTCCATTACATCGCTGTGCTTCTGTTCCATGAACCTTACCATGGTCGTGAACGGGTCAGACCTCCGGGGACGCCTTGCGGGAGGCTAGGCGTGTGATGCTGGTGTTGTCTATGCCTTTACACCAAGTGTCACCAAGGCATCGTCACGCAGTTGGGCGGCTTGGGCCTTGTCCTCAGCAGCCTCTTGACATTTCGCAGCACCTTGCTGCTGATTCAGTAAGTTCTCTTCCCTGGGGGAAGCAAGCTCAGTGAGCAGCTGGTCCATTTCCGGAGTAATCCTCGACACTCCCCGACTTTCGCAAACTGGTGGCCTCACCGCTCGAATGCTTCTTGAGCAGGAGATGAAGCCGATCCACAAGCCCTTTCTTTTTCAGCCCAGCAAATCTCCCATCGCTCTGGGAAAGCAGCAGAGCTGCTTCTTCATTCGTGTGTGATTTCCGCAAGAATCATTCGGCATCGACCTCACAAGGCGGAGCATCATGGGATCCATCTGCGTATCCCATGTAAGTCGTCGTCCCTCCTGATCACCAGAGGCAACAGCAGCAGCAGAAACTGCAGGACTTGAGTTCGGCTCAGACATTCTGGTCATGAAAACAAGGACCTTAGAAAGAAGAATGTCGAATGGAAAGGAAAAATTCTCATGTGATCGCGGAATGAAAAGTCGACAGACCAAACTTCGTTGGATTGATGTTTTCCGCGATTGTGTGTCCGGAAGTTCGTTGTAAGTTCCGTTACTCGTTCCCGGGCTTCAAACTCTAATGAAAATTCAGACGATTTTTTTCGTTATGCTAAACCTCTCTTATATCTGTGTGGGTGCCCATTTCTGACATGCCTTCACATATGTGTCTGTCTGTATGTATGTCCATCTGCCTGTCTGTCCTGTTTGTCTATCTGTCTGTCTGTCTTTCTTTCTGCCTATCCAGTGCACGTGCTGAGCTAATCGGCAAGGCGGACGGCACGTCAGAAGCAGCAACAACAACGTTAGCAGGCACAGGAGCTACGACAGCACGGCAGCCTCATCAGCGTGGTGACGACCTGGAAGGTACCATGCAGGTGCATCGTCAGAAGCAGGAGGAAATCGCCGAGGACATGGTACAGCTGGCTCGTACTCTCAAGCTCAGTCAACGAAGAGCCAAGGACACCATTGAGGAGGACACCAGGGTAGGTTACCATGGTTACAGGGCAAACAGAAACAAGTACAGTATCCTAATTTGTTTTGTGGTCATCTTCATTAGGTCCATCAATCAACAGTAGTGGTAACTTAATAGCGGTGGTTTCTGGTATCTGCAAGCGCCGCGTGGTCTCGTCTGGTCACAAGCATATCTACCACTGCTAGAAACTATTTTTCCCTATCTTCTATTATAGATAGTATTAGTTGAGGAGTTGAAATGGGAAAAAGCCTGTTATTAATTATTATAATGTGACTTGTGTAGATGTAAGGAAAGTGTTTTGTAACTTTGTTGTGTAACTATGTGTGTGTGTGTTGACACTCGGGTATGTGTGTCTGTCTGTCTGTATGTCTGTCTGTCTGTATGTCTGTCTGTCTGTCTGTCTGTGTATGTATGTGCTCACACCTATTCATGTGCCGTGTGCAGACTCTGCAGAAATCAGCTGACAAGGCACAGGAGAGCGGAGACAAGCTACGCACCGAGACCGGCCGTATACAGCAACATACTCGCAAGTCCTGTTCGTACTGGACCTGGATAATGATCATATGCGTAGCTATTACCTTCATCGCCATGGTCATCTTCATACGCATTGTTCCCAAGAAGTAGTCAGGTGGACTCTATCTGATCGGGAGACTTGAGCACTTGGTCTGGCTGGTCTGTATGTGCTGTGTGTGTGTGTGTGTGTGCGCGCGCGCACACGCTCGTGTGTGTGCATGCGTGCGCGCGTCCCCTCTAACATTGCCCCGTAACCAATGCACACACAGGAGGTCTTCACACACTGCTTGTGTCGGTGCTAGGTATGGTGTGCAACGCCTGCTTGTGTCGGTGCGTGTCCATATCGGCACATGGCCATGTGTGCAGCTGCCACTACAATCATCTGTCTATTGTATTTATTCTATTTTCCTGTGAATGAAATATTTGAACTTGAGGCCATCCATGAAGTATACATGTATACTTTATCGCTATAAAACAAAACGTTATCGCTATATCGCTTATTTTTGTAAGTTGAAGACACTTGGTCTGTCTGTGTAGTCAGTTAGTGACTACCATTAATTTTGATTTGCTGAGTGCATGTCGCATGCATTAATTTTGTTGTGTTTTGCTGACTGCTGTATTGTTGCACATGTATTATGCTACCCTGCCTTGCTACCATCAGTACCATGTATTGCATTCCAAGTCACAAATCTCACTTTTCTACCGATGACTTTTAGTCTTGTTTAGCAGCGTGTAGACCTTTTTATAGAGATCCAGATTTTGATAAACGTTATCAGCGACGTGAAGGCGCGTGTGTGTGTGTATGTGTACGTGCGAGTATGTGTACGTGTGGGGGGGGGGGGGAGGGGTCTGCTGTAGAGTTCTAAGATGTCCTCAACACGTGTGTAATCACACTCATGCGTTTATTCTCAGAATGGCACAGCGCTAATAGATGCATGTGGCATAGCTTGTTTCTTTGCAGTCTCTGCACTTTGCTGAGCACCACATGGATAAAATCACTACGCTGTTGTATGGATTTCCGTCACTGTTGTCTTGCTGTCACACCTTTGGTCATTGTGCATGTATGTGTTCAGTTGTAACCGATCGATCAAGAGGCCACCGGAATGTACCATTCGTGCACGACCCACTGTTAGCAGATACTACATGAATAGAGGTTGTAGTAAGTAATATCATGGGGGTGAACATGGTGTATCAGCGGAACCGCTTATGGCGCTATATAATTATAATAATATGCTACTACTGTACAAGTACATGTATGATTGTTGTTGGTTGACAGCATGTACCAAGGTGGAGGACACCGTGTTCGGAAACAGTGACCTTACTACCACCATCCACGGTTGGTAGAGCCCAGGTCGGCTGCGACCATCTGAACCGTATGGGTGCTAGACCCGGTTCTGACCCCCTCTATTCTAGGGGAGGTTTAAAAGTTGTTTTAGACGTCTCGTGCCGTCAGTCTATACGGTTCAGATGGTCGCAGCCGACCTGGGCTCTACCAACCGTGGATGGTTGTAGAAAGGTCACTGTTTCCGAACACGGTGTCCTCCACCTTGGTACATATGCTGTCAACCAACAACAATTACATGTTTGAACAAAACAAGGTTATCTAATGAGTAATGTACTATTAAAGGGGAAGTATACCCTAAAATCAAATTTTCACCAGTTGTAGTCTTCTGGGTGCTGAGTCGAATGGTCTTGGTCCGAGGAAGCTGCGACGCTCCCTTCCTACTTGAATCCCAATCGAACTCGCGCACTTCCACCGAAACTGGGTGACTGCGCCCTACTAGATGGGGATTTGTATGCAAAATGTCACTAAAAGCGCCATTTCGTTCTTATAAAAGCACGGATCACCGCGATTGGCCCATATGTTGTAGTCTTTTGGACGCTGAGTCGACTGGTTTTGGTCCGAAAAGGCTGCGATGCAGCGTTCCTCCTTTATTCCCAATCGAACATGGTTGAACAAGCGGTCACGTGCTCCTGCGTACACCAGTCAGCTGGTCACCGTGCCTGCAGGGTACAACTTACTAGCCTGTTTGACCTTTTTTGGGTACAGTCCTGTCACTCGAGTTGAACCCGAGTTGAACCTTGGTGTGAAAGTTGTCGCCTGCTGGCGCGGTGACCAGGTGATTTGGGCACCCAGGAGCACGTGACCGCTTGTTCAACCATGTTCGATTGGGAATAAAGGAGGAACGCTGCATCGCAGTCTTTTCGGACCAAAACCAGTCGACTCGGCGTCCAAAAGACTACAACATATGGGCCAATCGCGGTCATCCGTGCTTTTATAAGAACGAAATGGCGCTTTTAGTGACATTTTGCATACAAATCCCCATCTCGTAGGGCGCAGTCACCCAGTTTCGGTGGAAGTGCGCGAGTTCGATTGGGATTCAAGTAGGAAGGGAGCGTCGCAGCTTCCTCGGACCAAGACCATTCGACTCAGCACCCAGAAGACTACAACTGGTGAAAATTTGATTTTAGGGTATACTTCCCCTTTAATGTATTATGTAGTAATGATGTATGCAGCATGATTCGCTAGTGGCAGTGCAGTTCTGTGCCGAGTAGAGTACTACTAGTACTAGAGACTACAACGTGTTGCCGCACTTAGCTAAGTCGGCTTGGCAACGCGGGTGTCCTCGCGTGTATCTTGATTTGTTGCCATGGAGTGGTTAGAACTGCCTTCCTCGGCTGGAACATGCATGCGTGCAGCCCAGGCCCGGGAAAAGACCACTGCCAACCATCACAAAGCGATTTGAATGGCATTTGTTGTTGATGATCGATCAGGCCAGGCAGGGCCAGTCGCTGCCATCAACCTTGAAAAAATTGTTGTCAGGAGCTTTGTTAGTTTGTAATTCAATTTTGTACTATACAGTCCGAGGCTGCATATTGATGTGTCTATACATACCACCTGTAACCTCGTCTAGCTCGTCAGCCCTCCATGCAGTAACAATAGTCTTGTGTGAGGGTGCACATTGGCGCTGTCTGCGTGTGCTTCGTGGTGACAAGAAGACCAGAAGAGCCCCGCCGATAAATATTCTTTTTGGAATCACTGAAATCAGCACTTACCGCTAGTGCTCCTGCAACCAGCGCACCTGAGCGGATGCAAGTACAGTTTTAGTGCTAGAATATCGATGCTTTCCTCATGAGAAACGCCATCTTGGGATTTGGAACCGTGTTGACGATGCAGCTAGTGACCAGGACAGGAGTCTGATGTGACAGCAAGTGATCTATGAAAGAGTTGTGGAAACGAATACCGGTACACACACACACACGCGTCCATGCGATGTGATCGGGCAAAGATCTCACCGTCTACCCGTGGATCAACCCACTGCCAGGTGCATGGTCGGTCACATGTATGTTCCTGTGCGGGGGAGACCATAGAGCATTGATTTCTGTGGCTATTGTATACTGCACACACGCAGTGCTAGTGCTACGAGCCAGAGTGGTGAGGGAGATAGTAGAGCAGCATGGAACTGGAAGCAGCCCGACTGTTACGACGGCAATACCGCTCTTTGCTGAAGACACCGCTGGAGGTAAGAGTGGCATGTAATGCCGGCAGAACAATTAAAGGGGAAGTTAAGGCAAAAATTAAAATTTCACCAGTTGTAGTCTTCGGGGTGCTGAGTCGAATGGTCGTGGTCCGAGGAAGCTGAGACGCTCCCTTCCTACTTGAATCCCAATCGAACTCGCGCACTTCCACCGAAACTGGGTGACTGCGCCCTACTAGATGGGGATTTGTATGCAAAATGTCACTAAAAGCGCCATTTCGTTCATATAAAAGCATGGATGACCGCGATTGGCCAATATGTTGTAGTCTTTTGGACGCTGAGTAGACTGGTTTTGGTCCGAAAAGGCTGCGATGCAGCGTTCCTCCTTTATTCCCAATCGAACATGGTTGAACAAGCGGTCACGTGCTCCTGCGTACGCCAGTCACCTGGTCACCGTGCCTGCAGGGTACAACTTACTAGCCTGTTTGACCTTTTTTGGGTGCAGTCCTGTCACTCGAGTTGAACCTTGGTGTGAAAGTTGTCGCCTGCTGGTGTGGTGACCAGGTGATTTGGGCACCCAGGAGCACGTGACCGCTTGTTCAACCATGTTCGATTGGGAATAAAGGAGGAACGCTGCATCGCAGCCTTTTCGGACCAAAACCAGTCGACTCAGCGTTCAAAAGAGTACAACATATGGGCCAATCGCGGTCATCCGTGCTTTTGTAAGAAGGAAATGGCGCTTTTAGTGACATTTTGCATACAAATCCCCATCTAGTAGGGCGCAGTCCCCCAGTTTCGGTGGATGTGCGCGAGTTCGATTGGGATTCAAGTAGGAAGGGAGCGTCTCAGCTTTCTCGGACCAAGACCATTCGACTCAGCACCCCGAAGACTACAACTGGTGAAATTTTATTTTTTGCCTTAACTTCCCCTTTAATGGGAGCAGAATAGATAGAGTGTATTGTGGGGGGGGGGGGGCTGTCACAGTCGCGAGTGTGGGAACTTGGAGAGATCATCGGCCGGCCGATGGTTGGGTTAATGGCAGTATTGAAGGTCGCGTTCACTGGTCATGACTCCACCAGGGGAAGGGCAATGGCAAATGAAATCTGACTTCATGCCTTTAGCTGATCTGCGTGTTCATGGTCGGTGTGTTGTATTATGCGTGTGTGTGTGTGTGTGTAATTGCTGCAGGGCATTTCAGCGACTCCACTGGCGGAGGATATCTTCACGTGGGATGCGCAGATCACAGGGTTAAAGGACACGCCGTGGCAAGGTAGCGTCGTGTATAGCACGTAGTGGTGAATAGATGTATTTATGGTGGCACGTACCACTCGCATCACGCTTGCATAGCACACTGCATGCTTCACACTCTCACGTAATATTTCTTTCCTTTCTTCGTCTCTTTGTGAGAGCTTGGACAATCCACTTGTCCAGGCAAGAAGGCAGAAATGCCTGTTCATTCTGGCGAAGTAAAATAAAATATACCAACCAACCAACCAACCAACCAACCACTCACGCAGAACCAAGAGTGCATAACCTCCAAGAGTATGCAACTGTGTGCACAACCTCTATAGTCTATAGTGCTGCGACGGCAGAACTTCATATCACGTGACGTTGTTCAAAAGGTTATGCTGGCAAACAGTGCAACGTGACCACAAGAGAGTTGAACCCAAAGCAGGGTTGCGCGCATGCGTACAATCCTGCATCTATCATGCACAGGGTACAAAATTAACCCTTTATGTACTGAAAAATTGTACACAGACTGAATTTTATCTCGACTCACCTCAAATTCTATAATTATCCGGGTCATAACTTTTGTCTCCTTTTGACAATTTTTTCAATCTTGGGCTTCCTGGAAAGCTCGTCGCAAGAGGAACACATTGAGCCCACGCTTGCCACCACGAAGGTCAAAACGCAAGCGCTACAGCCCAGCGTCTTAGCTGCAACGCCAATATTCCGACAGAAGTCGTGTTGCATCAGCCATTTCGCTCTCCTTGCTCGTAACGACTAACTGTTACTTCTAAAAAATGTCGCAAACTGCCATGAGTCCGTTTACCATTTTGAACGTGTTTCTACGTCACTGCATGCCCAGAATGATGGGGAAATCCCTCATTCAAATTTGCGCGAGCGGCTATTGAGCGACATTTGCCCCGATTCGACTTTTGAGCTTCGTAACTCTGTAACCACACATCAGAGCGCTTCAGCGATTGTTTCAATGGACAGCTGGGAGTTTTCTCTTTGACCTACGAATTTTAGTTTTCGGATATAACCCAGGAATGACTGAGTTACGATCGATTGAAATTTTGAAAAGTTGAAAGTTGTACCGTCTGTACACAAAGGGTTAATAATGTGTACGGGTTCGTCACATGATGTGAAGTCTGCCGTCGCAGACCCCATAGCTGGAGTTTCACACTCTTGGGGGTTCTGTACACTTGGTGATAGACGTAGCACTTGAATAGCACTTGCATCGCACTCACTGACACAACTTGCATCACACCCACAGTTCATACAGCACTAGTAGTAGCGTAGCATGGCACCAACATAGCACACGTGTGTGCACCAGCAGCAGCAGCAGCAGCACCGTGGGTGAGAAATCACACATCATTGGCTTCTAGCACAGACCAGTGCACCATTACTGCCGGAATGCTAAGCCGTATTCCTCTCGCACATGCGTCAGGACGTTATTGCGCATCGCACTAAGTGCCCACGCATCGCTGAATGCCGATGTGCACACTATCTCAAGATGGTTTTCTAGCACCTCTATCCCGTACCCATTCTCTGTCCTGAACAATGACCTGCATTCCAAGCGATGTGACTCTGAAGTCAACAAGGATATGTTCTGGCTCTCCTTCTGGCCTCCCCCGCCTTCACTATTGTCTTTCTTCCTTCGGTTCTTTCCTCATTCTCCTACCCCTCCTGTGACCTCCAAGTCCATCCCTCCCTTGGCCTACTCTCCCTCCATCCCGTCCTTGGCTTACTTTCCCTCCATCCCTCCCTTGGCCTGCACCTGTGATTATGACTGTTGAGTAATGGGGATATCTGTGAATGTCTCATGTTCATACACTGCAGTCTTGGTCCTGCTAGTTCTTGCATGTCTCTTCAGATCGCTGATGTACATAATATGGTGTGCATAATGCATTTGTGTGTGTGTGTGTGTGTGTGTTTGTGTGTGTGTGTGTGTGTTTGTGTGTGTGTGTGTGTGTGTGTGTGTATGTGTGTGTGTGTGTGTGTGTGTGTGTGTATGTGTGTGTGTGTGTGTGTGTGTGTTTGTTTGTGCATGTACATGTGTTTGTGCATGTACATGTATGTGCATGTGTGTGTTTATCCATGTGTGCGTGTGCGTGTATATGTATGTGTGTTTTTGTCTGTGTGTTATTGCTATTGGTAGAGGGTACTCTGTACGTGCGTCTGCAGTTTGGACACACGTACAATGCACTACCGCCGGATGTCTTCTTCTACAGCGTACCATATCACCCTAATAGTGAGTATGGCACGGCTCTATTTTTCTTCTTCTGTCAGTCTGTTAACTTTCCTCTCTGTCTGTCTGACCAGCTCCCAATCTGCCTGTCTGGCTGTCCAGTTAATGCTCGCGCCTCTCTGAAGTAATTGACAGGAGCATGTAGAATAGCCAGATTGATCAATTGCCCACAACATTACAAAAGGCAACACTGTTTGTGGTTTTAAATGACTTTTATGCAACCGGAATTTCTGAAATTGGATCCATCTGATGTCCTGGTACTTCTCTCCCCTGTCTGGCTATGTAGTTCACCCGAACACAGGTCGGCCTTGCCTGGCACTACTCGACGATGCCGGAGCATGGAACGATTGTGCGGACGGTGGAGTCGAAATCATACTACTCTCTCTACAGGTTAGTTGCCTCCTGTATGCGTTGTCATGGTGATCATATGGCATGTTTCTACGGTGTAGGCCCTCTTTCTTGAACTCACTCCTTAGGAGCGCAGAGCAACTCAGCTGGACTTTGTTGTATCCCTGCAAAACCTGAAGTAGCAAATTGATATCCTTCTTTCGTTCGTCCCTCTTGTACTTTGTACTTTGTACTTTGCACTTTGTACTGTTGAGGCAACGAACTGACATAGTTAAAACCAACCCAAAATGACACAGGTGTGCTGTCAATGTGTGATGCACCTGCTATTATGTTCCAATGGCGGCTTCCACCGTTTGCTTTGGACGAGCGGTGTCAGCAATGATTGCCTTCTCGTGTTGTCTCGCCCATATCCACTCTTTCTCTGTCTGTATGCCTGTCTGTCTATACCGTATCCATCTAGCTCTCCCTCTCCCTCGCTCACCCTCTCCCTCTCTCACCCTCTCACCCTCTCCTTCTCTGGCTGTCTCCTTGTCATTGCCGTGTATAATGCTGTTGTAGCAAATGCTCTGTGAGCCGCTGTTAGAGGACGCAGTGCATGAAGACGCAGCGCTTACACTCATGCAATCACCATCGGACTACGCACTACTGGTGGACAAGTGCATCCTCAACAGTCAAACGTTTCTAGGTAATGTACTTAAGTAGGTAGTTACATGTGTGTCAACTGTGGAGAGGGTTTTAACAACTAGGTACTAAATAAGATGGATGCGTAACGAGGATGCTGCACTGCTGGATTTGTACGTGTTATCCATCTCTTCCGTACGAGCAGAGCATGTGCATGTTTATGGCGTGTTTGAGTCAACGTGACTTTTAGCCTTATCTACAGTGCACGCCATCGCGCGTAACTCCAGCTTTCGAGTAGGGTGTGCCCGCGCATGTGTGTGTGTGTGTGTGTGTGTGTGTGTGTGTGTGTGTGTGTGTGTGTGTGTGTGTGTATGTGTGTGTGTGTGGCTGAGGTTGTTGGTATATCTGTTGGCTCTGGGTTCCCAGTATTCAGCAGCCGAGGCTGGTTGGTAACGTAACTCCAATTTCACCTAAAGGTACCAGTGCATCTAGTGTCTGCTTCTATCAAAGCAGCGTGCTGTCTATACTGGTTACCCCAGCAAGTGTAGGGTGTGCATAGGTAACTGTCTTGGCCGTTTTATGCCGATGTACTCCGTGTGGTATAGACCAGGTGTGCATTGGTGGTCGATTCACATGGCTTCGCCATTTGTGTGGATTAGACAGTTATCTGGCGCAAGTCTTGATCTGTCTCATTCAGATCTTGTTCGCTATCGTTGCTTTAAGAGAAAATCTGTGGGTGCACATCCAGTGCATTTGCAGATTTGCGTGCTTCTCTTGCGACGGGCGTATACATGGTACATGGTACATGGTGTGTGTGTGTGTGTGTGTGTGTGTGTGTTTGCGTGTGTGTGTGTGTGCGTGTGTGCATGTGCATGCGTGCGCGTGTGAGTGCCTTTTTAGTTTTTGTTTTGTCCATCCATCTGTCTTTAAACGTTTCCTTACAATCCCGGTGTATTTAAAAATAATATATCTAGCTTTCCTCCACACCTCTGCCGATGTTTCTGTGTGTAGACCAGTTCATTCACAAGTCTTCCAATGATGCAGCAACAGTCACGAATGACTCGCAGACATTGGGATCACGTAGCAATGTCACTGGGTACCAGTCAAGCGATGCACAGCTGTCTGGTGATGATCCCACTGCTGCAGGTGACATGCTCATCACCAATGTTAGTCCGGACAGCACCCAGCCAGCCACCGCTACCAGCCAGGCTAAGCCTAAAACCGTGTCCTATTTGGATTATCTAGACTTGTGGAGAGGCCAGGCCACCACACGACCAGACAGGCAGAGCAAGTTACCACGTAAGCATAGAGTGCAAGTACATGTATGATGTTCACATCAGTTTGTCATGTGATGAGACTATTTTTTTTGCAGAAAGTGATCACTGCGGAATGTGGACAGTGGAACAAACATGCCGACATCATGGGACCCGTAGATGCCGGGGTTTAGTGGGGTTGGAACCAACATGGCGTCCCGTATGGTCATGTGATAAACATGTAACAGCTCTGTATACACATTGTATCAAAGCTAACCGGAGATTCTTACAAGTACACTGGCGCAATAGAAGAAGTCTACCGAACGACGAATTTACTTATATATATACGGTGTTTTAATTAAGGAGCCTAGTGATGTATATGTAATTTGTTTGTGATTGTGTGTGTTCACATGCCTAGACAGATTCTTTAAAATGAGTCTGTCTGGACATGTGGTGCATGGATGAGTCATAGCTCACTTCATTCGTCCAGTGTACGGCATACATCTGCAAGCGGAGTTCAGGAATGAGATTTTCCTGTGCGGTGTTTGTACCAGCTCATCTCGGTGCCGTAGAATGCACACACATGCACCTTCTCACGGTCTTTATCTGTATATGTATATGTCTGCCTGTGTGGTTGCCTGTCTGCCTGTGCCTCTCTCTCTCTCTCTCTCTCTCTCTCTCTCTCTCTCTCTCTCTCTCTCTCTCTCTCTCTCTCTCTCTCTCTCTCGCTCTCGCTCTCTCTCTCCCCCTCTCTCTCGCTCCCTCTGTCTCCTTCTTTCCCTACTGTCTACAGATGCTAATCTGCTCCATAAAGACAATGTGCTGAGAGCTGAACATGTGTTTGAGACGCGCTCAGATCTGGAACAGTCCACCAAGGAGAGAATGAAATAGTACGTACACTGTACCTACATGAGAAGAAATGAACTCTTTAAAAAAAAGCATTGTCTGGATTTGAAAATTTATTTTCCATTCCTACCAGGTTCGCCCTCATTTCTCTGTGCTGCGCTGATGAGTCCACAAGAGAGAAGGCCCAGCCTTATTGTTTCAAGACAGCGTGTGTGTGTGTGTGTGTGTGTATGGGGGGGGGGGGAGGCAAGGTCTATCAGTTGCAGACTGTACGTCAGTTTTCCGGGCATGCCAAATTGGAATCGGATTATTGAGCCTAATCCGGCCTCAATCAGGTTTCAACCCCCCCCCCCCCAAAAAATCTTTATTCTTTGGAATTGACTGTAATCTCTCCAGTGTGTTCTCTCTCTCCTTTGTTGCTACCACTCACACTGTCCACAGTTACAACAGCCTCAAGTATGGCAAGATACCCGGTCTAGCTGACAAGGTGGACAACCCCAAGCTCGACCCCAACAAGCACCGTCTGGATAGACTGCAGTTTGTAGAGGAAGTCCGGCAGCCACCTCCCGCTCCCCCGGAGAAGCCCAGGAAGACGCTGCGCACCATCGGTGAGTCTTGAGCGTGTTCTGAGCATCATCTGTGCATGTGAATACACCATCTGTGTGCATACGACATGACTACAGGCAACCTTGTGAATAACGACCCACGCTCATGCATGACAAAGGTGTCGTTATTCGTGAGGTTGAAAGCCTATGCTGTCAAATGGTCACTAAGTTCGAAGTTTGTGTCGTTATTCGCGAGCTGTTGCTATACAGGAGGTCATTCGTTTTTCACAAGTTTGTCTGTACAATGAAACCTGGGTAATGCAACCGCTTGAGGGACCTTCAAGATCATGGTGCTTACTGTCCACAGGTGATCTCCTTATCCGGGCAATGGGTCATTGACTGGAAATGATATCCCTGGGTCCTATTCGTAGTGGTCCGCTGGGACAGGTGGTCGCCTTATCCGAGTGATCGCATTGACAGGTTTTCCTGTACATGTCATGTACATGTTTATCAGTGTGCTGGTTTGTGAATGGTACATGTACTGAAAATGCACGGCTCAGCATGCTACAGTCGGTGGACAAGAGCTAAGACTATTGCTCCCAGTTGTTACTCAGAGTGTCATCTTAGCAGTGCAGTCCGATCTGGCAACGTGTTGCTGTGCTGCGTGTTATACTGAAGTCACTGCAAAACAGCCTGCCGTTCCCTGTGCTTATGTGTACGGCTGTGCGATGTGGTGCAAGGCACACTATTGCGAGCTGCCCGGACTGGCCTGCACGTGTTGTTATAGTGTGTGCTGTGTGCTTGTTGGCACGTACACTCTCTGATGATTGCGTATAAGGTAGGGCTCAAACGGTTAGTCCGATTAACTGGTTGCAGACCGGCTACGAAGAATTAACGGTTAACCGATAAAGATAATGGTTACGCAGTAACTTTTCAGTCAATTTTTCAAGTATCAGGTCGTTGCAAAGTATGCACTTTCGCAGGCTGTCGCACACGTACGCAATTTCTGGGCTGTCAACTCGGTCATATCTGGTCTCTTGGTGTGAGAGTATGTATGAATGAGCATGCAAGAGAATGTACATGTGTGCGTTGTATTGAATAGGGTACATTTTTGAATGAGTAGCGGTATAGTCAAATATACGGTTAAAAAAGAGTCCGCAGGATTGCCGTGGCTTATAGGTTATAACCATTAAACCGACCGTTAGCTTAGCAGTTAACCGTTAGGGGTAAAACCGTGATCGTTTGAGCCCTAGTATAAGGGCATGAAACTGTTAGTTACAACGAAGGTGCGTGTTGCTCTCTGACTTATCAGGGGCGTAGCGGCCGGACCAGCCGGTCCTGCTTTGGCCGGACCACATTTTCGTCCTAAAGTGCCCAGAATGCAGGAAGGATTTTGCACTCTAATTTCAAAGTTTTCACGGGGACCCCCCGACCACCTCCAACGACGGTGCTACGCGCCTGCTTGTGTGTTGGCAAGTACCGTATTTTCCGGAGTATAAGCCGCACTGGAGTATACGCCCCCCCCCCTTCCCCCCATTTTTTTGCCACGAAATAGACATCTATCCTATTTATCACCATTGATTTGATCATCAGAGTATAAGCCGCAACCCCCTTTTTCGGGATAAATGTTTGAGTGTTCAAAGTGCCTTACATGTATACTTCGGAAAATACCGTGCTTGTAATAGTCAAACGGTGACAATGAAGCCATTGCTCCTATTAAATTTTCTTATTGAGCACTATAAAACATCTTTGTTTTTGTGCTGTTTCTCCCTCTACTCTTCTCCCTCTACACATATCCGCAGTTGTGCGTGTGGACCAATATGGCCGGCAGCTTCCTCCCTCACCCACCGTTCCCCGCTGCATCAGCATACCACCACCTGCACCGCCGGCGTCCCGCCAGACAACCACCACCACCGCCACCGACAGCAGCAACACTGTGGATCCTCGCCGTGACGCTAGCGTGACGGCTGCAGATGGCGACGCTACAGCCGGCCCTGGTTACGCCATGCCGGGATCGCATGCAATGATGGCCGCCACTGCTTCCGATGCTACCACAGCTTATCATGCTCGCTCCCGTGATGGAGGCGTTGATGAAAAATCTGACAACGCATCCGGGAGTGTGAAACCCGCCCATATCGACACGGATGTGGCAATTGACCTAGAGGCAGCAGAGCTCATTGCCTGGTCCAGGAACATACTCGACGTGGTCAGCGATGATGATGGTGCGTTCTAACAAGCAGCCTGGATGTGACCTCGCATGGGTTTTCAGTATGCTATGTGTGCTCCGTGTGATGCCTGACGACTGATCTCTTCATCGTGTATGTACGCGCCCATACTCACACTACGAGTATTGTGTGTATGTAGCCACTGTCTGTGCTTGTGCCAGTGTGTCACCGTGGGATATGCCACCATGCGAAAATAGACCAGGAAAACGCCCGTGTGATGCGCCTGCGAGGTCTACTCGAGCGGGGCCATGTGCCGTGCAATGCCAGCGATGCCCTGTCTCAGCCTCAATTCGGCACAATGACTTGCCAGCAGTACCCTTGCGCGGGCGCCTAGCCCTGTGACCTCGAGCGGTCAATGTGCGACGTGACATTGTGCGCTGGGATTGGCCGGCAGGGCACGCAAGCACAGCTCAATGGTTCCTAAACCAAGCTTGCGGGTCAATAGACTATACACGTGATACACCGACCAACTATATCCTGGGTGCTGGACACTGAGTACAGAGTCAGTGCACGTATAGATGGGTGAGTAAACTGTGTGGGCGTCTCCGCCACCAGCTCGTTGCGGAGTGATTGCCATGCAAGCTGGCTTGCAGGCTGGCCGCAAACTGTCTCTAGGGTACGTCTGAAGGACCCCACGCAGTGACGCGGTATAGAAGAAAGCCTGCTGCATGGTACGCGTGGTGCATGGTAGAGGAGATAGCACTGGTCCCCATGTCCACACACACACGCATGCATGGCTAGTTGCAATTGAATGCAGCAAGTACTGGGAGCGTTGATTGTATGAAGCTAATGTAGGATTGATGCATGGTATGAAGCACAGAGAATGTTTGAATGAACAACGACACCTGCACGAATAAGCAGACCTTGGACCTTCAAAGTGTGGTCGCTGTGCGCAGGTGGTCTTCTTATCCAAGGGTCATTTGACTGGAAATTATCCCTTGGTGGCCTGGTCAGATTAATTTTTGTAGTCGTCCCCTAGAGGTAGACGGCACTGGTCGCCTTATCAGAGTGGTGACGCCCGGTTTTACTGTATTATCTTGTGCAACACATTTTGCACATTATCAGTACGTCTTTTCATTCCATTGCTTCTCGTAATGCATTCAAGAACACGATCGTCAAAAATTCAAAATGCACACACGCCAATGAACAGAACAAAAGAAGGAGAACATTTTTCATGATCAGCACACAATCCTTGCCCCATGCAATAAACTAGGAGTGTGCCAGAATGGAAGAAAAGAGGGTCAGTGATTAGTAAGAAAAAAGGGGACATGGGGAGGTTGAGCATGCTACTGTGTGTTAAAAAATATTATTTGAACAAAATGCAGCTTGAACAGCATGCACGACAACCAATCCACATCTGATGACGAAAAACACGCCTCACTTCTAACAACGTCTCGAGATTCATACTGGGAAGGGCAGTCGGTGACTCTGCATACAAATGGCAGAGCATCAAGTCTTCGTTGGCAGAAAATGAACAGAAAAATGACTAAGCAGTAGAAACTAAGCTGGGTACTCAGGGCGGCGCTGAAATCATTTTGGGTAGGCTTCATGGCATGGTGGAAGGGCGGCCATGACACTAGTGTGCAGGAACCGTGACGACGGCAACCACGACGACGCACTACTGTCAGCCGATGGCCACCTTCTGTATGCACGCGCCATCAGGGTGGTGATGATGGTGGTGGTGCCAGGTCAATTGGGATAGCGGAAATGTCACGTACACGGTCCTTTCAAGTCTCAGTCACAGTGGTTAACACCACACGCGATGCACGTACGGCGGTAGGAAAGTGCCGCAACAACTCACGCACAGCAGAGAGCTAGAGGCAGAAATTCAGCCAGCAGCTCCTCAAGGCGTGCAGGCGCCCTCTATCGTAGGATCATTGCTGTACCTGGTCGCCGTTAATGACATGATCATACGCTGCCTGTAGCCAGAAGCACACGGCTGGTCGGCTGTGCAGTTGTAACGGAGCTAGTAGCTCAGACTCCAGTAGCAATGCCGGCTCGGGTAGGAACGCTGCCGCGGCTATATCACCTGCGAACACACACACACACACACACACACACACACACACACACACACACAAAATTATAAGCCACCCGAAAGCGCCACCAAAAAATGGCTGATCTACTTTCGGCCAGCCGGCAATACTCATCTCAAAGCACACACTGCCACCAAGGAGAAAGGACTTACTATGCAGCCAACGCTAAACTACAGTTACTATACACAAGAACAGTTCAAGAGCCTGAAGTGTGTCCTTCTTCTCAGTATCCCTATACATAAGCATAATGTACAATTCTACACACCCACACACACACATACATACCCCTCTCCACCATAGCGCGGACAGTACGGCAGAAGACGGTCTTTGCCACGCTGTCCTGCTGTTCAGATTCATCCACACTCTGCCAGCTGAAAGTGGTGACAGAGAAAGGACGACACAGGATACGGGATAAGTCATCACGCATACACACCAACACAGCTGACGAAAACAGTACAGTAAAACCTGCCCTACCCGGACGCCCTTGGTGCAGTGGATATGACAGAATTCCGCTTGACCCAGGGATGCATGTTCGATCCACAGCACTGGGGCCAGTTTGGTTCATACACATTTGTCCGGTCAATACATGATTCCTCTTGCTACAGGGTCAGGCAAACACAGGTTTTACTGTGCACTGTACAATGTCACAAATGCAGTAGAGAATGGTAAGTTACTGCAGCCGCTCTCATAACAGTTACAACTGTACTAGTCACACTACCAGCAGTTATAGCAGCTGCTGCAGGTGTGCAAACCAGGTATGCAAACCAGCTATGCAAACCAGGGATGCAAACCAGGTATGCAAACCAGGTATGCAAAGTAGGAGCAGCAACAACACACATACCCGCAATGCCAACATGTGTTAGAGCCAGCCTTTCCCTGTAGAAATCAGTGTCAGTGCACGACTTATCACCAGTGCACGGCTTTAAAGTTCGTGACTTGTGTGTCAACACTAAAAGCAGGCTCATGTGCCGAGCGACCATCTAGAAAACCAGACTTGTATTCACAACAGGCTCCTATATCCGCTATTGTAGAGTAGTCAGTACTCACAATGCCTGCTCCTTGAGCAATGCTTGGCCCCAGATGACACAGCATGTCGTCAGACGCTCCTCATCGCTCTAAATAACACAAAACAGTATACATACACGCGAACATGTACACGCGCGCGCACGTCCACCACAGCGGTAGCAAAAAATACAGTTAGAAGGGTGCGGACGATTCAGGCTTGTAGCCCGCTTGAAGTTGAAGAAGTTGTGGCTGGGTTAGTGTGTGTAAATGTGCACTACTGCACACATAGAGTACACCATGGTTCTACTGTCATTTCTACTGAACTGCAGCAACGGACTAGCATAGTAGCCTAGTCTTTACAATCACGTAATGCAGCATGCATAGGGGAAACAGGGCAGCATGCATAGGGGAAACAGGGCAGCATGCATAGGGGAAACAGGGATGATCATATGCTGGCCGGAAGTCAAGTCATGCATTGCTCGCACCGCGGCTCAATACATCTAGAGGAGGGGGGGGGGGGGGGCAAACCTTGAAGGAGGGTTCAGCAGCGCAACTCTATGTCGCTTTGGCTACAAGCCGGGGACAGGTACTGGTGTTACAGGGCACACGACAAAAAAGCTACCCTGTGGCTGACTAGATCGAGAACATCACCAACGAACTCAGCAGCTGTCTGCCTGTTCAGCATTATTCAGTCCAAACTCCCCCACCACATACGCTCTCCAGCCACACCGGCAAAAGCAGCAACAGCAGCAGCGGCAACAGCAGCAACAACAGCAGCAGCAGAAACAACAGCAGCAGCAGCAGCAACAGCAGCACTGCGACACCAACATACATGTACATATGTCTATTGCCAACAGTGGAACAATGAGTTTTCCTTACCGGGTTCAGCAAGCGTAGAACATCCAACGCACGCAAGAAGTCTTCAGGCTCGGCTTCCGCGTTGCCATCACCGATCAATGCCTGGCATGAGAACACGGCAGCATCGCACAACATGACCCATATATCTGATGATTGCAGCATGTGTACGAATACTACAGTACAACCTGTCAAGGCGACCACCTGCCTCGGAGGACCACACCGAATAGGACCAAGGGGTGTTATTTCCAGTCAAAGGATCCTGCATCAGGAGACCACCTGTACACAGCGATCATATTCGAAGGTCCCTTGAGCGGTCGCCTTATACAGGTTTCATGGTAGTAACTACACAATGTGCATGTAATGCCGAGCAAGAACACCACAACCTTGCTCATTGTTCCACTGTTTTATTAGCTCCTCCAGGGTACAGACTTGGATACGAGGATACAGCAGTGCCGGGCGCCGTGGAGCATAGCGCCAAGGAAGGAACAAGCTAGAATTTCACAAATCACAGCATATCAATACATGTATAGTATACATGTGTGCATAGACTGTAGTACATGAATATGAGAACGGCATAGGCTACGAGACTGATAGGTTTTCAGAGTGAAGAAGTGGCAAATACATAATTAAAATAAAAAATAGAAGAAATCGCATGGACACGAGTATCCACGACTGTAACAAGATAATAAGCAGTCAGAAAGTGCGATAACACTCGTTTCCATGTAATTTCTTCTATTTTGATAATATTTATTGGCTCAGTATCGGTCAACTCAACCTACAACGAACTCGCATATACCGAATTTCGTGATAATTATAGTGACCCATTGTTCAAATCCCAGTTTGAACCTACAGTGTAAGTACATTTCTGTTATAACAAACTTTGGCTATAAAGAACTCTTCTCCTGCACAATAGTGTTGGTTATATCAGTAGTGGTCTGTATACATACATAACTCTGAGCTTCGCTGATGAGACCAAACCAAGGTGGAAACAGCTAGCTATCCGGAGATTCAGTACCTGTACATAGAAATTAGCAATGTACTTACATCGATCAGTTCGCTGGGCAGCAACGGCCGCATCGTACCGAAGTCCAGTTGCAGATTCTAGGACAGGGGAGACACACACAAACCCTAACACACATGAGAACACGAGGTGCATGTGGACTGCAGCCTCATCCCAACATGTACATTGAAGCAGTCGTTCTACGCTATCAGCACAGGGGTTAATAGTTGGCTCAGCATCCTACACACCGCCACAGGGATAAAACAAAACAATGTCACGGTTCGCGTCTAGACGCCGAGTTTTCCGCATCCGTAGGACACCACTGCCCTTTGAGGATCAAGGTGCAGATGCAGCTCCTAAAGCGGTGCGAGGTGAGTAGATCAGCTCACCAGCAAGTGGTCGCATCCAGTGAATGTAACGCTATAACTTATGCCAGCCCAAACGTTTGTCCAAGTCCAGCGACAGAGAGAACTAGGAAACAATGCATTACTTGTGCTGTGTACGTGCTGCTTATTGTTTTCACGGGAGGGTGGAGAAAGCCATCAGCAAGCCAAGAAGAAGCAAGTCAACAAAGAGAATTATAAAAGTATTGATGAAGAAAGGAAAAGGACAAAATGTTACGAGTTATGACAAACTGTCCACCAACGTAACCAGATCTTATACAGTCAGCGAGTGCGACAAAATGGCACAAAACTGACAAGGAGTACTGAGACATTCGGCGGGTTTTCCTTTCTTCATCATAACTATATTGGCTCACCATCCGAGATAAAAGTATTCCCCTGGATATATGCGGAGTCTTCAAATCATTATCATTCCCATTGCTGAAGATCTGGATCTGTGTTCTAATGTTGGTTATCCTACTAGTATGCAGGGACGGGTCCAAGGGTGTGTGGGGGTCCGGGGTTCCGGGGAATCCCCTAAATTTCGTAAATGTACTACTGGCAACCATATGCATGTCCATGTACATGTATCAGCTATTCAGTTGTGGCTATACTGGAATCCCCCTGTAGAGATCTCTGGATCCACCCCTGGACTAACGGTATGTGACATAAGCTCTTAGTCAGGATACTGCGCAACACGTTATTTTCGGTGTAACTTCAATTTCGGTAATTTCAGTAGAGAAACCAGGCACCTAAATCTAGATAACACCTAAATGGCACTAGAGTATGCACTGCACGTGCAGGGAATGTTGGTCACCTAATTCTACATTACACCTGAAGCCTGGCAGGTCCCTGACACTGAAATTTCACTATTACATCACGTTATACAGTAGAGTGTTGTTCACCTCTCTGATGTGTTCTGGCATGGACTCCTGCAGAGCAATCAGTTCTTGGTTGTTACACATGCCTGCACAGTGCATACAGCGAGATACACACAATACAAAGATGACCACAATGACGGCGACCATACCACCAACAGCAAGAGCAACACAATATTGTGTACATTGGAAACTCAATCCGACATGTGCCCCGAAAGGTTTTAGTAAGAGGTCGACGAAGTGGAAGCGGTCAAATAGATTTTCAGATTCTACAATCGGCTGAGACGTGTTTCTTGAACGAACTATTTCTCAGTCAGTCCCTGTAGCTGCAGTGAGCAAGTAATCATGGCAACCCGCCGCGCGTGGAACGGACTCATTACGAATTCTTGCGTCTAGATGGAATTTTCAATAGCTCGATCAGTGCGTTGAGTGCGCAGGTACCAGGTTGCTTCAAAAGCTATATTTTCACACGCGTCACGCACGTGAACAACCCCGCGGCCGGCCGGCCTTCTCATGTTGCCCGCCGTGCGAAACCTCTCTAGTAGCACTGGAGCGGCGACTTCTGGAGCTTTGGTTTGAGGCAAAAACCAGGTACGAGACGACTATGAAGAAGAATACCAGCTTCCAGTTCCAACAGGCCAGGGTGACCAGCATGCAGGCCATGCGCCATGTACGTGTCCATGCACTTCAAGAACTGCGTACCATGTACATGTACCAGGCCGGGGAGTCGTACATTTTTTTTACAAGTGAAGCAGCAGGGGGGGGGGGGGGGGGGGTGAATGCACTAATTTATTGGGAGCCGCCCCGAGCCCTGCCGCCAGTCCTTGTTCAGCTCTTCGAGCAGAAATCTCAAGCCAAATGGTCCTTGCGTAAATAAAGAATTGGCAAAATTTCAGGTACGCAAACTCGACCTCACGTACACAAAGCGGTGGAACAACAAGCAAAAAGGAGCCCCAGAGGGCGGCCAATCCCCCTCGCCGTCCGTGGGGGTCCCACATAAAGAGAAGGAAAAGCACCCAGCAGAAAAATCTGCTCAAGCCAAATGGCCCTCGCGAACAAATGGCTAAATAAAAAGAATGTACAGCGCAAAATAGACGATTTTGCTCCCCAAGAGAGGGCACCATACCGTATACGCGTCTCCTGGTGTCTACCAAGGCTTCTGTTGGCCAGCACTTAGCAGTTAGCTACATTGTAGCTGTACAATCGAGCTTTTGCGTGGGATGTGATCGATGAGAAACACTTATGCATGGCTGCACTGGTGTGCTGGTCCGACATGCTATGCTGCGCGCTTCGATAAAAGCTGTCCGTTAGCGCTAGCTGTAGATGCTGGATGTACCTACGTACGTGCGAGGCATGCGTGGCACCGCGGCCGAGTGTCAAAATGGCGGCCACGAGAAGAAGGGATAAAAGATGCTCTCCACTGCCGCAGGATTTTGTTTGCTGTAGTCTTTACCGATAATCACACATGGATCTATTGGATGCATACGATAGCGACGATAGCGACAGCAGTATCGAGCCGCCATCGAAACGGAAGAAGACTGGGGACTTCGAGGCTGTGTGGGGTGAATTGCGAGCTCAGAAGGCTGAGATCGACAACTTGAAGGCTGAATCGCAAGCTCAGAAGGCTGAATCGCAGGCTCAGATCAACAACTTGAAAGGTGAGACTGACAAATTGCAATTCGAAATTGCCACAGTAAAAAATATCCTGTGCAGCGTGTGCCAAAGGACGTTACTCGAAATGTTGCTGAAAGACCTAGGAGCAGTATGTATCGCTCTACTGCTTCCACTATACGCAATGATCTACTGTACTCTCATCTTCCATGTCGCTTCCTCCTTCATCATTCTTGTTTCACTCTCAGCCAGCTGTCGCCACTGCATCTATAGCTATAGCTTGGAACTGTCTAATCCATTGCTTCTTGTCTATATCATCATTCACTAATCCGATACGCTGCTTGGTTTTGCGGCTCCCCGTTATCAGACTGGATGCCACATAATGTACATGTTGATTTGTCATTTGATCTAGAATACTCTTCTTCGCCGTTTCCACGCACACCCGCTCCTAGTCGTTGTTTTACTGAATATGTGATCACAGTCATTTTGGGATGTCTCGATTATACTTAGACTTCGTAGTTTTTGACTTTGACTCATCTCTCTCTCATGTACCTGGACCAGCAGTCGGAACGACAGCAGCACCCGCTGGGACAGCAACGACGGCTCAGCCCGCCGAATGGCGCGACAAGGGAAAAAAGATCCTTTCCTGGGACGAGCACGCAGCGTACTTGCCTGAGCCCACCCACTGGAGCTGTAGCTTCCAGTTCCAACAGAACCACAGGACTTTGCCATCATTGAGCGTCGGCAAACAACCCTGACTGTGTCTTGGTCCCCAGCACTGGAGGCAAACAGTAAGATGAAGCTTTGTCACGCTATTTCCTCTGTGCTCTTCTACACTTACACACATTGTTACGGTGATTAGCTCTAAGTTAGCCACCGTCAATAAGAGAATCCTGGCAAGGTGCAAGTGACGGCAGGTAGTTTGGACTGAGACTTAGGGCAGGCCTTACATCAGTAGTAAGCATAGTGATGGTCCGTCCCTCAGTGAGGCGGAGGGTTTAGAGCGAAAAACGTCAGATAGCAGTTCACGTCAGAGTGCCACGGATGCTGGTGAGACTACTTACACATCACAGTGAATCAATCTACAAAGTACAATGCTGCAAGCTCAGCCGCTGGATGCTGCTAGCAAGCTGCAGGAGAACCAGCATACGTACGTAGCTAAGCAACAATTCAAAGGCCATGCTGTCCTTCCAGGGGCTGAATTTATCAAGGGTATGCTCTTGGTTCCGCATTCTTGGAGTTACCGGTATGTAAAGTACTTCCTACTCTTCACAGCAATGCAATTCACAGCAAGTCACAGCAAGTCTTCACAGTATTTGTATGTTGTCACCATACATGTAGGATCAAGTCATCTGTTGTTCTGACTAGTGTGTCACGGCTCTACCTTCCCGGTATCGAGCTCTCTTGGATTTCTGCTGGAATTCACAACAGTGTAGGTCCATACGTACGTATGCACTGGGTCTTCCTTTGTTATTCATATTTTCACTCTGGCGATGATGGGCCAGGCCAGAACACTGGGTGGAATGCAAAGCTATTCGCAGTGAAGAGACGATCGTTTCAGAGTTGCAGAAGTGAAGAGCTATATTTCCTTACAAAAGAAAGTACAGTTCGCACAAAGAGGCGTTTCGAAGAAAGGAGTTTTAACCCTTTCGGTGCTAATGACGTCTATAGACGTCATGCGTGCTGTACGCCAAACGACTAATGACATCCATAGACGTCATGAGATTGGCGCAGTACATCGCAGTGCATAGATCAGTGTACAAACTCGCAACTTCTATTGGGACAATCGATACACCGTTGGAAAGGCATTGAGCTCAGCTTTCCAGCGATATAAAGTTCTTCGCGATAGGAGAAAGATTGACGGAGCGGCGATGGAGTGAACACGGAATTCACGGCACTGAGCGATCATGAATGCTTTTGTTCATGCACTAGTATTCTGTTGCGTGCCAGTGGATTTCCCTTCGGCACAGCACATGCACAATGGACACCAGCGGAAGCATGTGGATCTCAGCTTTGCAGTGCAGTTTGAATCGTGAAAATTTGCAGAACTAAAGAAAGAAACCGAAAAAAGTGAGATTCCTGTGCCTTTCCGAGGCATCGTGAGGTAGTTTCAAGAGGACGTAGAAGTTACTGCTTTCACACCATTGCGACAAAGCAATCACTTTTTCACCATTGCAGTTGCACCCCTGTTGCTATTGTACTTCGAAGTAGTTATTCGTAACCTCCAATCAGGACTTTGTAGCTTTGAGCACATATAAGTATAGAATAAACACCGATGTCGTAGTGTTTATGGGAATACAGATGTTGCCTGATGATTGCGAGAGCATGAATTTGAAGTCGCAGCAAACAAGCCTTGATTGTCCTTGTTGTTCTGTTCTGTATTACGCTCTGCCTCCGCCATGGTGTTGAGCACTGTCAGCACACTGGGTGCATCCTCCGGTGTTTATGGGAATATAAACACTGTCTATAATATGGTATTATGTTGGCATCATTTGTTCTACTTATGTTAAAGTTTGCACATCCGCGTTTCACCGGCTTACGATGCTGAGAAACACAACCAGGTGTTTAGAGAAAAGTTTCACTCGTGCCAGGCCATTGCCATGCCTGATTATACCAGGGTGGCAGATGCAGCACCATAAACGGTGAGGGTGAAGTGGTAGGTCTCACGACCAATGTCCGATAAGGGCGCGTTCAGACTACCGTGAATCCCGTCAAACCGTGAAGGACATTGGCACTACCGATGACTAACGTCACCGGTACATAAGTTTTGCAGCTCTCACCGCGGCACCCCTTTTCCCAGCCTGAGCATTTTATTGCCGGAAACGTTTTACTACCGCAGCAGCCGCGGCAATATAACTTTTCCGCCGGTAACGTGCCAGTAACGTCACGTGATCAACTTGGAAACTTCCCAATTAGTCACTTTTTATCGGTAGTCTGAATGCGCCCTAAGGGGTGAACATCGATAGGTTTGTTGTTGCCTTCCTTACCCATGAAAATGTGATCGTTCGGGTCAACAGTGATAGTCTCGGCGTCTCCATCATCGCCATGGTCACTGGCCAGGTAGGATAGCTTGGACAGAGATAGCAGCGTCTGTAACAAGACAACCAAGCGTGCACACACACAGATACACACACACACGTACACACACGCACACACACGCATACCATGACAGAGCCAAGCTGCATACTCAGACCCTGAAGCAAGCAGCAGTTTCCAGCGGTGGAACCTCTCCTGTCTACATACAGTCTACAATATCAATAACCAACATTAACTGGTCACAATCACAAAGAACAGAGAGAAATACAGCTATACCTTTCAGTACGAAATACTCCAGAGATAGCACATACTATGGACTCAACGTAAGCCGACACTCCACTGCACTAAGAGCGCTCCCGATTATAACGAGAAACTCGATGTTGCAACACAGCTTCCTCTCCCTCTCCACTGCATACTGTGGACATGCAAAGTATGCAGACCTATTAGTTTCACGACCCTTCTTTACAAACTTTTCAAATAGTCCGCAAAGTAACAATGCAAATCCTACACCAGTCATTTTGACCAGGACCTTGGACATAGTAGAGCACCCCAGCTATACAGCACAGATTTTCACAGACCCCTTGGACGGGTGCCCTGCAGAAATGTTTCCGTACCTTCTTCTTGGACAGGTATACCGTCTCGTCATCGGCCAAATCACGGAGTGTTGAGTAAGCCTGGGGAGAAAACAAGAACATGGAACAAAAAGTCAAAAAAAGAGAGAATGAACTGGGACACTACACTTTTTGCAGAATTTATATTTTGTATTTCAATCAACCCCACCTATCATATGCATTTTAGTTTTGCGAATCAGGAAGCTTTCCAGTGAGGATTTCTTTCATAGAATTTTTGTGTGTACAAACAGCACTTTAGAAGACCGTCAAAGCCAGATAAGATATGCAAAGCACTGACTACTTTCATGAAAATCCTGTTGCCCTAAACATTTCCATCTGCCAGATATATGTCAAATATGATCCCAGTTTAGTAATACAGCCAAAGCCAGACGAGATGTGAAATGAAAGGACACCCTCGCATCATTCTAGGTCTAGGTGTAGACCCATAAAGGAAGAGAACGTCTGTCAGCGCCAGTTGCATGCTAAGAGGACAGGTCGTAACGAGAAAATAAGGGAACCCGATCCGCAGATAAAATTTAAAATTCTCATGCTACCAGGTAGGGGAGGAGGAAAGGACAGGGATTGTAAGGCCAACGGACCTAAAACCCAAGACACATCATACGTACGGTATTGAAGTCTCCTTGTCCCAAGCAGTGAAGCCATTTCAGCTTCGTGTGTGGCTCCAGGAACGCCGTTAGTTTCTGATGCAGAGCTGCGGGTTGGCTGAGCAACTTGGCGAGTTTGCCTGAAAACAAACAAAGAACACACACACACACACACACACACACACAGACACACACAGACACACACAGACACACGCCAAAGTTCAGTTATTAGTGAAACCGGATCCTACCTTCATCTCCACTTAGTCCAACCAGGTGAATCCTGGAGAACAACACAGCAGCATCTTTGCTACATAGCGGAGGGCATTCATCTGGGCTGGACGCATCAGGCAATCTTGGACATCCTCAGTTACAACAGTGAACTTGCTGAATGAAGTCAAGAATTCCACTGCAGCTTTTTTATACTGATAGAAGCGGCGGGAAAACTGCGCTAAAGCACGCTCAGCGTACACACACACACACACACACACACCCAGCACAGGTGATAACTGTCCAGTCAATGCCTGTTCAGCGTACACACACACACTCCCACCACAGGTGATTACTGTTCACAGTCACAGCCCGCCACAGCATCATCATTCTCAATCTCACGCTGCCACCAGCTTGCGCTTTGTCGATGCAGGGGGTGGGTGACAACTGGCTGGGTGGTACACCGCGGTCACACTAGTTTCATACAGTTTCACACCAGCTTCACACGACTTTCACACCAGCTTCACACGAGTTTCCCATCAGTTTCCCATCAGTTTCACACGACTTTCACACGACTTTCACACGATTTTCACACCAGTTTTACACCAGTTTCACACCAGTATAACACCTGGTTGCTTGGTACTACTGTCAGTTTTCCAAACAATGTGACATGTACACTGGACAGTAATGCATACGTGTACAGCACACATACCGTAGAATCCCGCGTATAAGCCCAGGGTTTGTTCGAACATCACAAAGCTTCATCGTACAAGCCCATGGGCCTAGGTCATACCAAGAGTCCATAAATTATGGACTCTTGGCCATACCATGTATGTAGTACAGCACATTATAGTTTTTTTTCGTACATTTCAGCACAATCATCGGTTGTTTTTGTTTGCACAGTGGTTTTCAGCAGTGTACTTCTCACTTCCTTGATACTTTACAATAGCACAACATGGTGTCGGCGTATAAGCCCATGCCCACGTATAAGCCCACCGAAATGTCCTTGTGAAACAGATAAGCCTATTGTACAGTGTTGAGCCTAGGCTAGGGATTGAGTTCATTTTTGCCTCCCGGGTGCAATGCTTGAGTGCGTTTCTTTCTTTGAATCATTATTTTATGCGGTCAATAAAAACACGCTTCCAAAAATATTGTACAGTGATATCTTTTTAGAAAGTGTCCACGTCTCCACACTGTGCTCTTGGCCCACATTCACCACACCATAGCGAGGAAGTTCATTCTTGGATAGATGTTGCATATCCTACAGACAGCTGTTTCGCTCACTGAGAGCTCCTCAATGTGCAGTAGGTATCCATGACTGCAGTTTGGGTGCAATAAGTGCACCATGTTGCACTTGCATACCGTACACGGTTCATGTACTGCACTGCATCGTACGGACTTTGCGCGCTCGACTATAGCCCCGGGCTTTTATACGAGACGGAGCTTTATTATTTTGATTCCCTCTGACAGACGGGCTCTATTCGAGGGGGGGGGGGGGGGGGGCTTGTATTCGAGCGCGTACGGTAATCGTGGTTCTACTGTACAGTGAGTAAGAAACGCACACACACACACACACACTCACCTTGATCTAGATAGTACTTGAACACGTATTCAGCAAATCCCTGCACAGAAACAAAAGATACAAGCACACACACACACACATGCACACACACGCACACACAGACACGCACACACGGCATAGGCGCGTGAGGTCCCCAGACTCCCCACGCTTACTAGCAGGCCAAGACGACAATACCTGTGCAATCCCCTAGCCTGCTCACAAGCCCTGGTACTGCATACAGTAAGCTGCTCACACGTCACTCACCTGCTCAGCAAACTTGCACATATAGGACATCAGATGGTCGTCACCTCCACCACCGCTGCCCGACGATGACTCATCCAGGGAGATGAGTGCTGCAAAATCACCGTAGCGCTCTGCTAGCTGACGAGCTGTTTCACGCTGGCCATGGTCCACTATAGATAAGCACAAACAAGCCACATTCAAACTCCTCCATGCTATCGGGGCCTGGGGTGTAAGGAGGCGAAGCATGCTTCGAACGAGAATGTGGGTAATTGGAATGAACAGCATGTGAATCTTGAACAGCAAACTCTGATGAGTATTTGTAACACACACACACACACACACACACACACACACACACACACACACACACACACACACACACACACACACACACACACACACACACACACACACACACACACACACACACACACACACACACACACACACACACACACACACACACACACACACACACACACACACACACACACACACACACACACACACACACACACACACACACACACATAAACGTACAGATGTACAAGAGCAACACATTGAACAAAACTCACGGAATGGCTGTATTATCTGTCGCCTTGCACTTTCCATATCACCTTGCAGCTCCTCTAAACGTGCTGCGCTGACATTCACTGACCTACAAAAGACAAACACAAGAACAAACATGTTCACACATACACGTGCACACACTTGTACACATAGCCCTTTGGCTGAGGTTGGTTTGTGTAACAAAAACTTACAAAATCACTCATTACTGTATTTTCCGGAGTGTGTTAGCCGCACCCCTCTGCACACCATACATGCACCATATCCATGGAACGCTGCAGCGCTGGTCGAACCACATCCAGCATTCAGAGTCTAAGCCGCAGAGGCGAGTTTCGAGTTTTTTTTCTTAAAGCGTTTCGAAGTGCGGCTAACGTTCCAGGAAATACGGTACACCTACGGACCCCCCCCCCCCCCCCAAGTTGACAACAACAGCAGTGACATTGGCATGCTGGTCTTACTTAGCTGAGAGCAACTGAATGCGGAATCCGTCCAGGATGTTGTCGGCCAGTCGACTCAGCTGGGCGAAGAGATCCTGTTGCACCTGGACCGACATACAGCCATATGTACACATACAGAGTATAAGCAAAGCCTCAACGACAATGAAAACACCCACACGGACGCCCATATTGGTGGAAATAGCAGTAACTGTTGCAGCAGCATAGAAAGAGAGAGAGAGTTAGAGAGAGAGAGAGAGAGAGAGAGAGAGAGAGAGAGAGAGAGAGAGAGAGAGAGAGAGAGAGAGAGAGAGAGTGAGAGAGAAAGAGTGAGTGAGAGAGAGTGAGAGAGTGTGAGAGTGAGTGAGTGAGAGAGAGAGAGAAAACGAGAGAGAAAGAGAGAGAGAGAGAGAGAGAGAGAGAGAGAGAGAGAGAGAGAGAGAGAGAGAGAGAGAGAGAGAGAGAGAGAGAGAGAAGAGAGAGAGAGAGAGGCAGGCGAGTTCCAGAACAGTTTCCTAACAGCGTGAAAAGATGAAGCCAAGATGGTTTCAGCCTTGGCACAAAGTTTGCTGCATTCACCGAATTAGAATGACTTTGACACGTTGACTTGAGCCAATTCTAAATTCTTTGTTTTGCACTAGATTTCAATGCGATCAGTCCGGCACGAATCACTCCGAGGTCTGCTGATGAGACCTAACAACTAAGTAACAAGATTGGCACAGCTACTAGCCGTACGGATATAGAGTGACAGCGAGACACTACATGACTGGACTTACAGCTGAGCGACTTGCAGCCGGAATAGCCCTCTCCACAACCAGTGTAAACTACATGCATACATGTATAGAATACACACACACACACACATACATACATACATACACACACACACACATTTGTACATACATACACACACACACACATACACACACACACACACACACACACGCACGCAAACATACAACATGCACGAACAGACATGGATACACACGCACGCACACACAGAGGCAAACATATGCGCATGCACGCACATAAGGACACAACATGGACACGGATACATGCAGGTTCAGACGCACAGACACACAGACAGTGGTGTACACACAGACAAAATCGCAGATTCCCAATACAACCTAGTCAGGTACTGTACTGGGCGCTACCGAGGGGCAGGGAATACGGCATATTGATACGAACAGTAAACAAAGGGAAAGCAAATTGCGAGAAAAGACACAATACGGCATATGCATGCATGTGCATCCATCCTAACAGGCTTGTACACTTACAAAGTCGCGCGCAAACATGCACAAACAGACAAACTCTATCACCTACCAGTCGAAGAAGAGAGGCACGGGCACCTGCATTACCAGACGATGCTGCAAACCATGCGGAAATAAAACACACACATGTATGATTGCATGTACTGAAGCTGCGGACAGAACTGTTTCGTCCTTTGTGGACTCCTTTGTATGTATTATACATATTTCCGGGTATATGTATGTGTATGTAACCATGCACGCACACTGGTCTTGGACAAGACACTTGCATTGAAAAGACAACATCTAGGGCTGATGAGTTCAGACATGTCTGTGAATGCTAAATATTTCCTTCCAAACCACAACGGAAAGTTTACTTGAAAAAAAGACAGAAAAGTCAAGTGCACGCGCAACACGTCGCCAATGTGTTGACCGTGATTCTAGTGTGCAACAACATCGTGAAATGCATGAATATAAAGAAGCGTCAGAACATAGCAGACTCAGCAAAGGATGTTCAGGTTCATTGAAACACCAAGATTCACCAAGTTCCACATCAGCTGTGTGATTATTGCCTCGCGGCATGAAACTCTGAGCTACAACAAACCTGAACGTCCTCCGCTGAGTCTGCTATGTACTAAGCTCTGTCTTTGACATTGAGCACTCTCTGCAGCTGCTCGGTGATCAACGGAATTGCAAACAAGTGTAGGAAAGAGTCTTGCTTTACAGTAAATTATTGGTAGTTGTTGGTGTTGGTGTGGGATAGTTATTGTTGGTATTGGCACAGGCTAGTTGTTGGTGTTAATGTTGGTGTGGACTAGTTCAGTGGTTGGTATTGGTATTGGTGTTGGCTAGTTGCATGGTACCTACCTGTCCATGGTAAGTATTCAGACTGGTTACCACGCTGTAACACACTGGGGGAAAACACTACGTATGTCTTCACCCTCTGCTGGTGGGCTGAGGATAGGAACGCCTGCATGGGTAGTAAGTACAGTAGAGAGAGAGAGAGAGAGAGAGAGAGAGAGAGAGAGAGAGAGAGATGAGAGAGAGAGAGAGAGAGAGAGAGAGAGAGAGAGAGAGAGAGAGAGAGAGAGAGAGAGAGAAAAATAGATGGACAGGAGTAGAGAGGGGAAAGTGAGCCACCAAAAAAACAGTATCACGACCGTTTCACCCCAAGTTTTCATACGCTACTGTAGCACATATCAGATATGCACTACAGGAGCTACTTGGTATCATGATGTGATATCAGATATGCACTACAGGAGCTACTTGGTATCATGATGTGTGCGCTGAGCACTACAGTACCCGCACTACTTCGAGAATACCGTCAAATCGTGCTCAAAGGAATGTTCAGCCCAGGAGGTTAGAGCAGTGCCCGAGAATAACTACAAAGAGAGCAACTGGTTTCGAAGGGTTGCTTCTTAGTGAGGTTTTACTGCATCCGAACTTCACCGCAGGTGCTCCGACATCAAACATCAAACACAGGCACTCGCGCACGACTAGAACACACTTACGAACATACGGTAGACACTCGTGAATGACCATAACACACTAACCTCTACGATGGTGTTTGTCGTCAGGAAGAGCTCCGTGTCTTGCTCCGCAGAGTTGCTGCCGCCCGCCGACGAAACGGAGGCAGCCAGCTGCTGACGTAGACACTCTACCAGCGAGGCGATGATGTCAGAGATGTGCTCCACCTGCAAGGTGGCGGCGACAACAGCAGAAATAGAAATTCAGTCAGGGACGTCGGTGGTAGGTACTACTGTCGGTAAAAGAGCTGACCACTAACATGGTGATCAGGGGTTTTCTCTTAGTCCTGACCTTTCCAACAAGCCCAGGATGATGAAAATCCATCAAGGTGAACTGAAATGAGAATAAATTTCATTTGGAGCTGTGCGGTCAAACTCCACCAGGAGAAATCGGAGAAAGGGGCCCAGCATGCAAAGGGTTAAGTGGTGCTTAGACAACAACGCGCGCGTGCGTGTTTCTACTTTTCTAGACAGGTAAATTGGTGGTCAGTGACAAGCCCGTGCCCGACCGTGCGTCTCTCTACACTAGCCTGACACCCGACCCTACTACCCTCCCCCACCACCACCATATCAACAACTGCACACCTATCAGCCCCTGGACAGTAGCAGTACCTGGTGGTAAAACTTGTGATGTGGTGACGTGGTAGCCGAGCCGGCACTCTCGCGTTGAGACAGTGCATGCTCCACGGCCTGGTCTAAGACTCCCGGGTGCCTGCAAACGATCAACAGCACGCAGACACACGAACACACGAACACACACACACACACACACACACGAACACACACACACACACACACACACACACACACACAGCAGCAGCAACACCACCAGTAATCAACAGCAACCCGTTAGAAGACCAGATCCACTACCAGTCGCAGAGCAGAGCACAACCAGGCAGCAGCCAGTGAGAGATCAGTTGCACTACTCGCCTATAGCGAGTAAAGTACCATCGGGTGCTGAAGAACTGGAGGGGGGGGGGGGGGGGGGGCAGCCTCGCAATCTAGGCCCTTTTATTTTCATGTACAGTCTATACACAGTGGTGTCACTATGTATATAACGACATGCTGCGCTTGGTGAAATTCTAGCCTGTTCGTTCTTCGGCAGTTGCACATTCTGGGGGGGGGGGGGGGGGGGAGAGAGAGAGTTATGGACTAATAGGCTATTCAGACTACGGCCAACTGTGCCCACGTTTCTACGATTCAGACATGTTCGATCAGCGATTGTGAAGAATCATTTGAAACACGACTGCATCACCATGGAAACTCAAGTTCAGATGTGATTTTGGCCGTAGTCTGAATCGCCTATAACTGACTACACAGAAATACAACCCAGCAGCAGACAACACTCACTTGCAGTGGTGAGACACGAGAGCTGCGGCCGCTGCTACTTTCTCACTGTGCTCGCCGAGTACTAGCTCCGTGGCAACCAGCTGGTCACCGTTGGCAACAACGCCCAGCTACAGAGACACACAACATATGCACACACACACACACACACACACACACACACACACACACACACACACATACACACTCAGAGTCACCAGAGGATGCACCCAGTGTACTGACAGTGCTCAACACGGCGGAGGTAGAGCGTATTGCAATAACTACACGGATCAACAATGGACAGGGCAAGTTTGTCGCCACTCTATGCTGACGCAATCATCAGGCAACATAACGATGCTATTGATACCCGCATGGCCAGTAGCATCCTCATGTTGCCTGATGATTGCGTAAGCATGAAACTCAGAGTAGCGACGGTGAAGCATAGGCTCAGCAAAATCCAGATTTCTACAGTTGAGCAGTGCTTGCTGACATTGGTTTGAAGAGTGGCAAAAAAAGGGTGACTGCCACTACGTGCAAGGCTATTGTGCGTCGTCGAATGGGCAATTTCCACAATATTCCAGTGAGTTGTTCAGCAGAAACTTTACGAAATCAACTGTACACACCATCGCACCGTATGGGACACACACACACACACACACACACATACGTACACACACACACACGTACACACACACACACACGTTCACACACACACATACAGAGTTACAAACCTTGTCCCACCACTCCATGGCAATGACAAACTGCAAGAACATGTCGTGGACATTCTGTGTGTTGTTCAAGTCCTGCTGAGCCGAGAGCAATGATGCCGTGGACAGCGGATCTAGCAACAAATACACAGCACCACAGCCGTCAGTCAGTATACAGACGGGCAAACAGGCAGACAGACACACACACACGTGCGCACGCACACACATACGCACACAATGAAACACCCAACATAGCAACCCAAAATAGACTAGACACTGGAGATAAGGGACATCAGGGCATACTGCATTCACATGTGAGTAAATACACAAACGTGTGTGAACTGGTAAACACGTCACTGGGTTTCAGTGGTGCCAGCAACGGCAGAAAAGCAGCACCGGACATACTTGCTGTCATCGCGGTGCGCTCGGCCCATCTTGGATCGTTAACACCACGATCATTGATGAGCTCACAGCTGAGCTGTATCAGAGCACGATCCAGCTCTGCCGTGACGGTCGGGAACAGACACTGGCATGCCGCCTTGCATTGATTCTGTTGTGAGTGTGTGAGTGTGGAGAGAGAGAGAGAGAGAGAGAGAGAGAGAGAGAGAGAGAGAGAGAGAGAGAGAGAGAGAGAGAGAGAGAAGGAACAGATGAAAGACACAGTGGGTCAGTAAAACACACAAGTACTTTGCGGATCATGGTGCTATAAACACGAACGGCACAACATACAGCTGACATACATTACACATACCCACAAATTTCTACGTACAGCTAAAGGCGCAGAATAATAACCTCGGGTGTAACAACAACTCGTGAATAACGACACCATCTTCAACACCATGCAACCACTTTACAATACAATACTTTTCTCATGGTCGACTGTCCAGCTCCAGGTAGTGGCTTTCACCACTCAAAACGTACATGAAACTAAGAGAATGTGAAAGACATGGAATCAAAACGATCCAGATTCCTAGCTATGATCAGGTGGCACGTCTGAACAAGACAGTGAGAATATGTTGATTAATGTTATCAAGAGTAGATGAACAAGAGTGTGCAACTTCGCATCTCTCCTGCACAAACATGCAGGGTTCTAGCCAAAGGGGGGTAGGGGGGCGCAGCGCCCCCTACTCCGTTTGTGCGCCCCCCTGTGAAAAAGTGCCGCCCCCTACTTATTTTCCGATTTTTGTGTTTTTTCACGCCATTCAACGAAAATACAGTCGATAGTCACTACTAAGGGTTCATAAAGGCACATTTGTGAGGAGTGAAGCCGGGGTTCACTCTGTATGTTACATTTCGCATGGCAAGACAATTTTGGACAATGGAAAAAATGGGTCATGGGGTAACTTTTTCCCATGCCCGCCCCCCCCCCCCCCCCCCCCTACTATATTGACCTGGCTAGAACCTTGACATGATAATACATCGCAAACATTTGGCAGTTTACAGTAACGTGTTGATGCTTACCTGGCTCTCAGACTGGCAGAAGGTCAGGAAGGCGCTACGCAGCTGCATGTAGCGATCTCCACCGCCGCCGCCACCGCTAACGCCAGCACTGCCGCCGCCAGTGGCAAAGCTGCTGCTGGCGACGGCGTTACGAGACAGCTCACTGCTCGGCGGTACGGACACCACAGTGCCTGACGATGCCTGCATGACCACAACAATGGCCGCAGCGACAAGCAGAAAGCAGGAACATAAAACACACATTTCCAAACTGAAGTTACTTTTTTCACTTCACCTCCAATCCGCAACACACGAACAGTCCTTGGGTACACCACGTACAGTGATTGTTTCCAAATGTTCACCCAGGAGGACATCACCACGGATAAAGGAGAAGATACAAAGATGGCTAATATAAGACAGTCCAGAGACAGAATTCCCTGTACTGTCTTGAAGTAACGTCACTCAGAATAACCCTGGCCATGACACATGTGCCAGTGTTAACAACAAATTCCAGGGCAGTGTCAACACATCGCTCTGCGTAGAACACTACAGGAGTCGGATAACACACTGCACAGTTGTCACATGAACGCCGCTATAGCAGCAGCAGAAGCAGCAGTGGCAGCAGCAACAACAACAGCAAATAACAGTAAGAACAGGAACAGTGGCAGCAGCAGTGGCAACAGCAGCAGCAACAGAAAATGAACAAGTGGCAGGCAATGAAACCTTACCGATGAGGAGCTTTCGGCAACCGTCCGAGCACTGTCAACAGCAACACAGGAAAAAACACACACACAAAAAGACACACGCACTCAGAGTCTACCGCTTGGTGCAATCCTCAGCAGAAAAAAAGAACAGCCCCCCCCCCCCCTCCCCCCCCCCCCAACACACACACACACACACACACACAAACACGCATGCACACACACACACACACAACCAAGCATACAAAACACACAAACACACAAAACGTCTATCACCTCACCTGGCTGTGGCCTCTGGACTGGGCAGACAACTGCGATCGACAAGAACAACAAGCAGCCGAGAATCACCACCATCCACTGGACAGAAACATCATCAAACAAACAAACAAAAAAAGAACTAGGTTAAACACTATAAACAGAAAAGACCCACACTCAAGCACGCACAAGCGCGCGCATGCACGCACACGCACACACACACACACACACTTGACACACACACACACACACACACACACACACGGTCACTCACACGCTCACACAGGCGCTCACACAGACGCTCACACACATGCTCATACACATGCTCATACACACGCTCACACACACGTTCACACACACGCTCACACACACGCTCACACACACGCTCACGCTCACACACACACACTCACACACACACACGCTCACACACATGCTCACACACGCTCACACACACGCTCACACACACACACATGCTCACACACACACGCTCACACACACACATGCACACAGACGCACACACACAGACACATACCCGAGATGAACACTGACCTGCTGCCAAATCTAGGTCGAAGAGAGGCTGGACGGCATTAACAGCCTTTCCGTTTGTGCTGTTGACATCCACATGGCGATCTGCACCAGGAAAATGGCACAAAAAAACACACAATAACGGACCACACGACATGCTTATCCATTCATAGAGTGAGTGGCAAACGAGTACGCTACGAGTGCACATTGGGAATTTCGGACTCCTCAGCCAGACCCCCAATGTCTCAACATCTTAGTTCAGTGCAGTGTGGTAATTAAAAATTCCCGCTCAACGGAAAACATTATTGCACACGGGAACGGAATGACATAAAGACACAGATCCGAACGTCTTACAATAGATGGTTTCAAGTTTCAACGGACATCACGGATACAAATTTGCCCACATACGGGTTGTTTGCCTTCTATAGCCCTTCCGCATGCATATCTTGCCTTCCTGCTGTCTTCGGTAGACAAGAATTTGGACTGCGTTCGCCCTCCCAATACCAGCAACCTGATTCTGCTGCTGCTCCTCCTGTTGCTGCTGCTGCTGGTGGTGTTGCTGTTGCTCACAGGCACTGCGTTGTCTATCATCATGGAGGCCACGGATAGAAGTACATGTACATGTAGATGGACGTTTACATTTCAGTGACATCATTTTCATCAGGTTGCTGGTATTGGGAGGGCGAACGCAGTCCAAATTCTTGTCTACCGAAGACAGCAGGAAGGCAAGATATGCATGCGGAAGGGCTATAGAAGGCAAACAACCCGTATGTGGGCAAATTTGCATGTACTTCTATGACCTATAGGAATCAATGGGTGGACGAGACGAATGTCGGCAACGTACCTGCGAATGCTGACAGGAGGGTGACATCAAACGCTCCCGCCGTGGCCAGCCGCACCAGCCGTGGCCTCCATGATGATAGACAACGCAGTGCCTGTGAGCAACAGCAACACCACCAGCAGCAGCAGCAACAGGAGGAGCAGCAGCAGAAACAGCAGGAGCATCACCATCAGCAATGTGAGCAATATCAGTAGCAGCAACAGCAGCAGCATCAGCAGCATCATCATCATCATCATCAGCAGCAGCAGCAGCAGCAACAACAAGAACAAAAAGACACACCAGCTGGTAAATACCACATTGTACCACTTCACACCAGCATCACCAGGATCATACCGTAGGGCTTGGAAATGTGATGTCACAGGCAGGCCAGAGCTAAGACAACCGGACTTTCGTATCTCTCTACTTGAACCCAGTTTTAGCGTGCTTCCACAGTACACACACACTTTCACCAAAGAAGGGTGGCCGTGGGCCCAGTAGTAGTTTTGTTAGGTGAAACTATAACCACAAGGCATGTTCAATGTCATCACTACCGAGCCGGATCGGTCAGCTCATAAGAATCCGACGAACACCACTACCGGCAGCTACAATAACACCAACAATCGCAGCAGAAGCCACAACAGAAACAGCAGCAGCAGCAGTGACAACAGCAAAGGCCGCACAGTAGCTAGCAGAAGTGCCATAATCAACGGCCGTGATTACAACAAGACCAACCACCACCGCTACTGCCATCAACCGGCATAACCGCCCGATGCTAGCACCCCACACCACCCCATCCCACACCAGACACCACTATCCGACACCACTATCCGGCGCCAGCACCCAGCCACAACAAACTTACGTCGAGGCTTGAGAGCGTGATTTGGCGTGCAAGAAGAACTTTCTCCTGGCTGCCCTCTTGCATGGAGAAGCCGACTAAACACAGCAACACACACAGGCACAACAGTTGTTGATTTACAAATCACACCTTGACACGCCAGTGATGACTTTCTTACACGTGTGGTGAATAGTGGCTACACATGAAGAAATGCTCTGATTTCCGCACTGTTGACAAGGCTCACGGCTGAGCAACACAGGAGTTTTTTCTTTCTTTTTGGAGCCGTGATCGAACTTTATTTCCCACCGTGCTTGTCATGTTTGTTCGATTCAATCCCCCAAGCCTGCCAGGCACATGACTAACTGGAACACTTGTTGGCAACTTCAACAAAAGCAACATCCCAAAAATCACAACAGCGCTGTCCGTGTCAAAGGAAAGTAAATCGCTTAGTGTTTGCACATGTTTTGAAGCTGAAGAGTTGTATACACGCGTACAAACTACAAGACCCGGGCTGTCCTACCGTCCTGCTTTGGACCAAGACATGTGTATACATTTACATGGGAGACAATTGTCTGTGTATACATTGCATATAGGTGTCCTGCTTTGGAATGGTGGCAAGGTTGGACCGACTGAAGACTGTCCAAGTGTGTTGTGTCTGGTACGTGGTACTTGTAAGGTTTGACATGCTTCTGTTAGGTCTCTGGATTCTTTCCGCTCCTTCTACAGTGCTGCTCAATAAACTTCGGTCGCGTGAGTCAAGTTTGCGCTCTGGTCCATTTCGCAGCCCAGTGTTCGCAGGTCTAGGGCTGCGCAACGCCCGGCGCGTACTTGAGTGACACGACTGGATTTCATTGAGTAGTACCGTACTACTATGGTTGAAGACGTGCTGTGATGAGCGGGCACATGTCAACTTACGCACAAACAACTCCTCGGCCTTGACTGACGAAGCCACGGTCGAGTGATCACTCACACTGACCAATACATACACGAGTTGTCTGCATAGCCACGTACATTGGACACACACACACACACACACACACACACACACACACACACACATGCACACACGCACATAAGCACGCACCACGCCGAGGCAAAATACACCGTCAACAAAGAGGATTCAGCTAAACCAATCCCTCGACAAACGCATTGTCCGGAATGCCGAAGGTCATTTCCCGAGCCTTCTCATGCTTCAGTAACTAAGTATGAACCGACACACAGGCAAATTCCGATTAAGACTGCGATCCACTGACATCAACAGAATGCTGAGGCTAGTTCTAAGGTGTCTCCATGATGAACACTCTAAGCACAGGCAGCACAGTTTCGAGCCGGAGCCAACACCCCGACATCTAGGTGTGCCAGTATCCATGGCATTAGCCTTCTCTAGCCCAGCCTGCCATTAGCGCACTGACACATGCAGCATTAGAGCTAGACAACGTAAGCAAACACGACGCAAACAAAACAAAACAAAAACAAACATAAAGCAATGCTAGGAAGTGATAACGTACTTGTCAATCAGTGCATCCTTGGCGTG